TTACAGGGCAAGCATTATCAGAGTATTGCCTTCAATTTAAAATGTAGTAGAAAACAAACATATGTGTTGAATGTGTATGTTTAGTCTTCATTCTATTCATTTTGCACTGATTTAGCCTTATGACCCAGTTTTGATCTGAAGTCTGGAATTACGCTCGTGATGTATGAGGAAATATAAAGTCACTAAATATAAAACCTGCATGGTCTGCTCATTGAGCTGTTGTGGTGAACAATCATTCCTTCTAACTATAGCTTATCCAGATAACAGAGAATCCACTGGTGACCACTTTTAAGATGATGGGTTAAGTAAACTCAAATAAGTAAATAGAAAATGTAACATGGGTTTTTGCCATATTGTCTCATTGTGTGCAGAGGTGAGATACACAGTTTCTGCACCACCCCCTAGAACAGTTTCTTTTGTTAGGCTCTGGTTTGGTGTTGGGTGACACCTCTGCAGTCTGAATTATATCAGCTATCCTTTCAGTGATCTGTATAAGGAAGCAGGCTTGAGAAACTCATGTCCAAAATTGAAAATTTTTGTTTAATGTGTAACCACTTAAACAGTTCCTCAAATTGCATCACATAAAAAGTTAAATAGGATAAATTATTTGTTGCAGCTTTTAAGCAGTGATCTCAAAGTCTTTACTTTTTATGTTGAGATGTTTATTTACTCTTTTTGTCTTGAATATGACCTTATGAAATCTGTTGGAATGTAAAACACTTGCACAATGATAGTCCCTTGTTAAATATAGCCAGTCTGAACTTTATTTCCTATGCAGATGCCAGTTTCTTGATAAGATTAGTAGAAAGCTATTCACCAAAGTGCGCTGTGATAATGGCCTTGTAAATGACTCAAATGACAGTACTATGCTGTAATGGGCACGTACATTTTGGTAAAAGGCAACAGGTCAGATGCTACCAGATTTGAAATGTCTCACAGTCACAGTTTGTTTGCCATTCCACATTTAGACTTTGACTAGGTAATAGCTGGACCTTTATGTCACTGAGCAATAGCAAAACCCTGACCTCCATTCATTTTAGGAGTTTGACAAGATGTGGCCTTTGAATAGGACTCAGGTGGTGTTGCAGGAAATCTAAAGGAGTGGTAATAACAAAGCAGATAGTGTGAGTGCCATAGACTCACAATTCTACTTAGCATTTTATACTATCATGCCATGTTAACTCTGAGAAATATTTGAAGAGTTCTTCCCAGAGCTATGCAAACGTGCACTTTGCTCATATGCCATATTTTTTTTTAATTTTTTAATTTTTATTTTTTTAATATTGTATTGAGCTGTACACAGCTTAATAGAGTATGGCTGCAACTAACCATCGACCATTTTCTTAATGTTGATTAGTGGTTGGATCTGAAAAGGCCAGTGAATATGAGTTTTACTAAATTAGACCCAGGTAAAGCTCAAGTTAAAGTAAAAAAAACAAACAAAAACAAACTTACTTACTTTGAGTTGGTGAGTCATAAAACCTCCTTCCTCCGCACCATGATTTGCAGTCTGTGTTTGATGTACTCACCCACTGCTCCACAGGTTTCATCTGTTTCTTACTTGTAACGTTTTCCCATGATTGCTCATAAACATATCGTAAGCTACAGCTTTCAAACTCTCTCTAGTGAAATAAAAGAGACAACAACAAACATTTGCTTTGCTGATTTAGTGTCTCTTAGGTAGTGGCTGGCAATGCTTGGTATCTTTATATTGTGTTTACCTAAAGTTCTTCCTCTGAAAAGTCACACTTGAATGTAATTGGTTAAATTCATCTGCCACTCACTGCGAGCATAACAGAGGCTGACCGATTATGATGATTACACCCAAGTAACATTGTCATAAGGATCAGATCATTGTGTTTACTGATGCATGTTAAACTAAGGAGCTTATTGGTCATCTATCATTTTGAACAAAATCTCATTTCTCTCATCTCAGACTGACAGTTTAGTGCTTTACTAATTGATTCTACAGACACACCCAAAGTTTCCAGTCCTCTGATTTTTTCTTTCTTTTGTCTTTGTAAGTGACCATATTTGTTTTGATACAGAAGGAGCATGTGTGCCCCTTATTCGCTAATTCTCCTGTCAATCACGGCTATCTGAACTCTGTAACTAATGATCAAACTCACATCTTTGTTAAGTATTGGAGAAGCAGGTATTCTGGATCCCAGGCAAATTTTGTATAGTCCAAGCAGCATCTGACTATTTGGTTTTGTGCAATTATGTGAACATCAACTCCTCCTATCATCTTCTCATGGTGATGGTGTCATAACTACCTTAATGTTTCTTAACCCTCTTGCACACACATTAAGTGTGTACAAATCAGACCATCTCAATAACATGCTGTGCAAATACCCCATTGCACAGTCAGGCTATTATGGTAATCTTTATTGGCAGCAGGTTAGCCATAGATGGATTAATCTGTTTTTACGTCTTCTATTGAAAAGAGTCCCAGGCCCAGGAGAGGAATCGTAGTACAACTGCTAAATGCTTATATTGGGAAACCCTCACCCGATGAGTGTGAAGTGAGTACAAGACAGCCAGATTAATGAGTTGTGAAGCTAATCCTGTTCATCCCTCCATTCACGCTGCCGTCACATGGCTGATATAGTCTCTTTTGATAGCCCCGGGACCTGGGTGAAACCATAATAGGTCCATTCACAAGCCTAACTCTGCATATCCGCACCCTATCCCACCACTGAGCAGCTTTTATCTCTTGATTTATTGGCACATTGGTGATGGTCCAGCACTTAAGTGTGGCCCGTGCCCTGCTTCTTTGTATCTTTTCTGCAGCAAGGAAGAGAAAAAAAATCCCCTTTAAAAGTTCAAAGGCAGTTTTTATCGTAATACGGACTCTAAGGAGCTTGGCTGAGGCCGGCTGTCCCCTAGAGTTTTAGATGGAGTTAATGGGTTGTGTAATCTCCATAAGCAGGTGTCGGGAGGCAGTAGTTAGCTACAAGATGTTATTTCACAAAATCTGTCTATTAGGAACTCTGCACTGGGTTTTAAATAACACACATTTATGATAATTAGGGTAAATACTTGCAGTTAAGTTCCAGAGCATCACATTGTTGTTATGTTGCAAATAAACAATGGACTGTATAAATGAAATACCATTGAGCCAACACATTTACATATAATGATTGGAAGATATGTCTATCAAAAGGATCAAACTGTGTGTTTGGGCCCATGAACTTACTACTAAAGGTGACTGTAGGTAATTTAATTATAGAAGAGGCAGTAATGCAGATGCAGAAATTGTATAATTAGTTGTTTTGTGACAGGTCCACCTTTAGAATAATAATTAGAGTTTCTTTTTAGAGTTACATCACATCACAACCTCTTATGAGTAATGTTATTGTGTAATTTGGGTGAAAACAACCCATCTGTGCTAAGGACAAAACTGCTCTGTCCCACACACTTTTGCAATCCCTTCTTGGTTTTGGTATTTTGTGACCTTTGATCTGTAGTGAACAGTCTCTGTTCATAGTATCTCATCTCCAGTATTATATTGGAAAAAACAAACAAACTTAATTACATTTAATTCTAAGGAACCACTAATGAAGTGTTCTCTAGTATCTTTCTGTAATTTGGAATAAGTTTAATCACAAATTTTTCTGGCCACTAATCTTATCTTACTTTGTAAGATAATATAATTGTAATTCTAATCTAATGTGGTGATGCAAAGGCCCGACCAGTTAGACAATGTCTTACAGATATTTTAATGTTTTTGGTCCAAGATGCAAGTCCCCATTTTAAATCCTAATGTTATAATAATATCCATTCAAACCTCTTCTGGACCTTGTGCCAGTCCCATCAGTGCACACAGTGATGAAGCTGGTTGTGGGCCCACAGCAGAAGCAAGAGGATTAGACTCTAGAGTATTATTAGAGCTACTGATTATCCCCTTACCTGATCCGCCTAATTCTAGCTCCTGCCTATTTATTTAGCCCAAAACTGAAGAAATGTTTGGATTGGGGCCGCTGAAAGTGAATTGGCCTTTCCTCGCTCTGGTGCTTTGTCGAGTCCAACACCGACTTTCGTGGTGTTCTCTGCTCCACTCATTAGGTTGTGCCCTTTGGTCGCTGCCTTCCCCGCTGTTGGCTACATGTGATTAATGCACTGTTGACCAATAGCTGCAAGGACTCATATTGGAGCCATGGAACGGTCAACAAAAGAAAATTGTCTTCCCAAATAACTCAGCAGAATACTTTTTTTCATACCCCAGCATTCTGTGTATTCAATGATAAATATAAACAGGTCAATGTCTCTTCAAATTTGAACACAAAGGTTTCCATCCCATTTGTCCTGGAGTCTGGAGGCTGTAATAGGTTTGTTTGGATGTAATTACACACCTGCTGCCTCTGACCTTGTGCCCAGAAAAGGGCTTTGAGGACTGGGTCTCAGACTGCGAGTAAAGGAATCAAATGTGAACATGAGCTGCTAAATCCTGCTAAAAGATCTAGCTGGCATAAGCCTATGAAGCAGAGGTTGTATATTTTTTGGTTAAAGATTTGGTCAATTTTACATGGTTTGTAACTTGTGCAGTCCATAGGAAGGGCAGTGAGTGCACATGTATGGACATAATTGGTAGTTTTCTCACTTTTCCCCATGCGCCTTGTAGTGTTTGCTCTGCCTATAGCTTTCTCGTGCACTGTTAACCTCCCAGAGAGTGCTGGGAAGGCTGCCAGGGCAAAGCTTAACTGTCACCTTGTCGACAACTATGTTCTGCTGATGCTATAGCCAATGCACTGCACTGGGCTGGGGATGCAATCTTATGCTGTTATAATATTCCTGCACTATATATTTTATCATTATATAGACTGTGGTTGGTGTAATATTAAATTATAGACCCTTACAGGAGTGATGTTTTTTTAATTGTTTTCATTCTGTCATTCATTTGACCAAATGAATTAAAAAAAAAGCTAAATAAATACATACATACTGGCTGGCCCTATTTGTATTGCTCTATTTTGAATCGTGTTTTTCTGTTTTTACAGTGTCCAGGGACATGAAACTCAGTCCACAACAAGCTCCACTATATGTAAGTATTATAAAATTATATTAGGTAAATTATGGTGGTTGGGATGTTAGCAAACTCTTACTGTATCACATACCGCTTCCACTTGATCCTTAAAGCTCCTATATTGCACAAAACAGACTCTTGTGAGCTTATAATGTTGTTATCTCCTCAAAAACATACCTGAAGTTGTGTTTTGTTTCATTTACACATGTTTGACAGACCCTTTATTATTAGACTGCCCACTTCTCCTCTGTTCCTCCTTCTGATGTCATGAAGCAGTAGTTTTTAAGTTAAAACCTCCTTTTTCATGTAATTCAACAGAGATGGGAAATCCTAGGGCTGAAATAATTAAAATGATTCTAGTGAAGAAGTATGGAGTTTAAAAACACAGTGGAGCACTTCCTGTATTGCCACCTGGCATCATAAGGTAGAACAGATTGTTCTCTGTTTGAGGGAAGAATTCAGTGTAAATATGCAGGGTTTGCGTATTAAATAGGTGTGAATGAAACAAAACCCAACTCCAGATATATTTTTGATGAGGAAACAACATTAGAACAGCTAGTAATATGTAATAATATGGGCCCTTTAAATTATGATTTGAAATTTTGTCAGTAACTATTTAATTTCTTCTGTGGCTTGTTGCAATAGGAATGAGTAAAGGAGTTACCAAATCACTCTGATATGAAGAATAAAACCAGAAAAAAACAAGGGATGAAAAAAAAGTCAGTGTCATGTAGCCACCACACACAGCTTAGACCAGATCTCCACAGCAGGGCACCTGGGTGGTCTACTGCAGGAGCCAGGTCAGTTGGTTCAGGTGGAACAGGTACAGCATGTTGCATAGGCCCTATTTGGTTGCTGAACTGCTGACCATTTCATACAGAATTTCGATGAACCATGTTGCAGAGGTCATCTCAGCAGTCTGAAATCTCAAGTTCCATTCATTGTTTAAATCTTATTTTCAGTGGTATGGGTCAAGTTAAAGGTCTCGAAGAGTGATGACTGATAGGGGGTGGGGCTTGTTTTTTATGCCATCATTCCCTGGTGTCATAAATCCTAAATATTTTTAGATATTTAAAATATTTTTATATATCAATTTCATAGCTTCGATATGAAACACCGCAAATGGCTCACAATACGATATTATCACGATACGGCAATATGTGCGATAATTGATATATTGCACATGATATATGTTTTTTAAGAACCAAACACATTTTAGCTACAATATCTCCTTTGTCAAAGTTAAAATTAAATATACAATGTGTTGCATACACAAGTTTCCTTCCACTGAATAAGCAACAAAATTGTTGTGGAGTCACAAAGAATTTCTTAAAGATACCAAAAAATACTCTTGGCGCTATATCCATACAGCAACCCACAATAATGATACTGTTTCACCACATTTAGTATCACAATATATTGTTTTTGATATTCTTGCACACCCCTAATGAGAGCTTTCCCTTACTGAGTTTCTGTACATTGATGATTCATTGCTTTCTTAGTGGAAGAGAAGAAAGGTCAATGTAAGTGTGTACAACCTGCATCACACACCAGACCTAGACAACTTTATCAGTGATTTACACCCAAACTGCACAGTGCAACCAGGCCCAGTCAAGCCCCATTAGACTTCAAATTTGGGTCACTTATCACTATGTTTCAGCTTTAGCGTATTGGGGCTCTTGCTTACTACAAAAGATGGCAGTAGACTTTCAGATTGTGTGTGGATACATGTTTGTGGGGCTGTAGTCTTGTAGTTGTTCAGTCAATCAATATTTGTATTAATGGAGTAATTATTTTATGAAGACTGAAATATATGCACAACAATAGGAAGGAGAGGGCATGGACTGAGTTAGCAGAGAGTGACTGATAGGACAGTTTAATCTGTCTTTTGACATATCAAGATGTTGTTTACTAATTCTTCTCTGTATACATATATTTTACCATATAGGCTTTATTGGGCAGAGCATGCATTTTCATGTGTCCAAAGTAAGTCACAATGACACTCTTATGTTCTATCTCATAATGAATCATAAAAGCATTGTTTTATTTCTAATTCTGATTTCTACTATCTTAAAAACATGAAAAATAGAACTGTTAATTTTAAACAATTTGCAGTGGTCTAAAATTATTCCTCACTTACCTTATTGCATTATGAATATCCTATTTATTTACTGTAATGAGTTTGAGAGGCCAGAGCAGAGTTTTGACCAGCTAACATCAGCTAGCATGCTAACCACACACTTCCTGATTAACAAACAAGAAAACTATTTGCAGACAGCACACAAGAAACTTATTTTGACCTTAAGAGCCCCTTATATAATATTTGTACTGAGCAAGTGCTCACATACAGAATATGGAAAAAATCAGATACAGGACCTTTAAGGAGTAAATCATTGCTCTGAATGTGCAATACCTCCAAAATGGGTAGTCTGCTACACTTTCACAAACATTTTATGTTGATGTGATGTGCTGCAAGTTTAGATAATGATATGTTTATGTCAGTTTTAAATACAGCTCCAACCAATTTCTTGAGATGCCTTCTGGTTCGTTGGGCAAAGGATTGTTGTTGTTTTCTACAGAGCTGCTGATGCAAAGAGAACAAACATACTATTTACATTCTTGCCATTCAGTGTGCATTGCCTTTCAGTGTGACATGTAATTACATGATCCACTCTGGAATGTGCATAGATATATAACATCAGCCTTCACATGATGTCTTAACTTGTGGATTTAAATAAATATTTCACAAATGCCAATTTCAATGATGACTTTATTAGCCACCTGTCAGGTTATGTGTACTGTTATTAGTCTTATACCTTATGCTAAACAGAGACATAACTACTGCATCATATATTTAATATCAGTGATTCGCAAAATTAGTCTACAAAGGTAGTCAACACAAAAAAGAATCAATAGGCAATTTTACATATTTAAAGAGGGAGTGGACTTTCAAAACACCCAGCTGTTCTTTTGAAGCCACTAAAAAGCTGCCTGTTCCCTGTTGAAGCTCCATGATTAGCAGGTCAATGCCCCAGCAGGTCCCTATTAAGTACTTATTACTGGCCAAGAGCGCAGCCATGAAGCTAAAGACATCCATTTGTGTACATGCCATGCTGTCCTTGAACCCACTACATTCTGAATCAAGCCAGGCACCCGCCTCTTAATAGGCCTTTAGTTATTCTCCTTTGTACAACCCTTAAAGGAACCTTATGTAGCCTGTGCTCTCACAGCTTTAAAAAGTTATTACAATCACTGCTGAACCTGGGTTGCCAGTACCTTACATTGCTGATAAATAGTTTTTCTCAGTATATGGAAAGGCTACGTCTCACATGAAAGCTCTGAACCTGTAGAATTCACTCAGAAGCTTCACTTCACTAGTAGTGATTAATGATTGGCTGCTGGGGTTTAGGTGGTGAGGATTCAGAATAGGGAGCGTGCTTTTAGCGTTAAACCAACTGAAATTCAACATTGAAACTGCAACCCAACTTATCCTGTGAGGGTCATCCTGCTTTCTGGTTTGAGAACCAAAGCACCAAAAGCAGGGGACATCATGCCCAATGTGTAAATCAGCATCATAGTTGTTGTCAGTAAAAGCTACATTTGTTTTGAGCATGTTTACCTCATGTGGGAACACAGATAGGCTCAAATCTATTAGTCACATGTTCAGGAAAAAAGAATCAAGGGTGCAAAAGTTTTTTAAGGGCAGCAGTATCACATGAGGTCACAAAAGGCATGCATTTTCAAAATCAGTTCTACTAAGAACTATTTTCACTTACTGGCATTGGACATTTTGTATTTAAGCTAATCTTATTTTTATTCATATTCTTTTTAACTTAAGTTTTTCCCTATGAAAAGAAAGATCTTATTCTGATCAAATGCAGGGCAAAAAACAGAACCAGAATGTAATGTTTAGTTTCCAGTAGCATGCTCTCTTTCTACATTTGTGAACTGGGACTGTCACTCAGTCATGACAAACCCCTTGTGAAAAAAATGCCTCTCTTTTCTGTTTGTGTTCAGGATGTGCACGTTACCTCGCCTTAATACGTTTTCATTTCCACCTGAAGTGCAGCCTCACAAATCCACCGAGGTAGCAATCTGCGCCATAGCAACTAGACCCTAATTTCCAATCTGGGCTGTGGATAAGAGATGAGTTTTTAATGGAGAGAATGTCATGCCTGCTGGCTCGCACCCATCTAGTACAACTCATTTATGCCGGTGCCTGCGCTGTGCCTGTTAAAGTCGAGACCCTCCGTGCATAGCAAAACCTGCTGCTTCCTGCACTCTGGATCCAGCCCTGGCTCACAGATGATAACTGCAGGCTATGACTCCTTCCTGCCGCCTCTGGGTTATGCATGCAGTTGCCTTTGAACACTTCTCCCCCCTTTCCTATTACTCAGCAGTAGTGGGGGAGCCTAACAGTGACTAGATGGTCTCAAGGCTGTTGGTTAGCCTCGCTGTTGTCAGCCCCTCCGGAGCGAGGTCTGCAGGGTAGCACTTTATAAGAGAAAGGAGGAAGCACCTTTGACCTGTGCCTGTTAGCGCTCACGCCACAGCCCTGTCAGTGCTGATAGGACAGCTGGAAAGATCTCAGCACTTCTGATTCTGTGGGATCAAGTGCTCTATTATACGCTTTCATTCTGCCCCCGAAGGAAAGCATCCAATTCATTTCATATTTCACATTGTCTATCTTGTCCTGAAATGACATTACTTGATGTTAGAACTGCTTATGCTTGTTTTTTCTGTTATATCAGCGCAGATTTATTAAAGATGCACTGTGCAGCATTTCTGGTTGGGTGTCCGCTACCTGCTTATCACCATGGAAATGTTATTGCTTTGTCTAGAATGTTACACAGCATAGATGAAACCATGAGGGGGACAAGCAGGTTACAGCACTACGCTACATTACAGTTCAGATCTGTGAAGAATTGCCCTTATTCATACTTATTGATGTACTGTATTTTTGAGCAATAAAAACAACATGAATAAATGCTAGATGGATATGTTTAATGACAAAGCATTGAACGTTCCAGACAAAGCAATGGCATCTCCATGGATATGAGTAGGTAGCGGACCCTCCACCAGAAAAGTTGGAAATTTAAATATAAACAAAATACATTGTGATACATGACTTTATTCAGATATCCTGGAAATGATTTGTTTTGAATAGATTTTAAAGACACTTTCCTTGGTCTTAAAGAAAGTCCAATTATAGCTTGATAATGTAGTGAGCAACCGTTCACTAAAAGCCCAACATTTATCAGCTCAGTGGTTGACCTGCAATGTCCACATACACTGATGAATGGTAGAAACTAAATTATGGCTGTTAATTGAGTTGTTTTGCTTATTTTCATGTGGCCGTGTATGCTCGAACTGTAGAAAATGTGTTCCCTCGCTCTACTGTCTGCTATATCCCAATTAATTTGTTGATAATGTGATTTAACACTGTAATTCGACTAAATCATTAGCATAATAACGATTATTGGTGTAAAACAAGATAGACAGAGCAGTGCTAGGTTAAGGTTAGTTATTGTCAAATTTAATGGGATGCTAGATTACATGTTATGCTCTTCGTATTGTATTGTTTGTATTGTATTGTAGTGTATTGTATTTGTATTGTTCTTTTTTTTAATTGTATTTGGTTGGGGCAGTGCATGCTAATGAACATACATGTGATACATTTATGTAAACATGCCGGACTATAGTCATGGGCTGATTTCTGCCCACTACCTTGTTTAAATAACTTAATTTTAGGTTTAAAAACACATAGAACAACTATGTGGTGAAAGTCTGTTCTGCATTGTGCAGTGTTTTTGACTCTCTAATCTTGCGTCCTCTGCAGGGCCGGTGTGTTATCACAGTGCAGCTCACTGATGAGGAGCTGGCTGTGGCAGAGGAGAAGCACAAGTTCTTCCTGCTCTTCAGTGGAAGTACAAAGAGGCACCTGACCAGCACCCACCGGAGCGGCCATGACACCCTACAGGCCCTATGTCCTGGTATGGATCCTTTGTACATCTCTGCATCACTTTTGACTTATTTTCACATCTTCACATTGGCCACGTTTACATGATGTTTTTAAATTCTGAATTTTAATTATTCTATATTAAATAGTTCGGAATTAAAATATTCTTCTTCTTCGAGTATACATGGAAATAATAATTCCGAATTGAGGTTTACATGGAAAACATGTTAAATCACACAAACATGATCCAAACTTTTTTTTGCACTTGTTCTGATGATAATTAAGAACTAGCTTGAGAATTCTATCATCACACTTTACGTGTGTCAGCTGAGGAGGAGAAGGGAAGAGTGTTGGAGAAGGAAGAAGACAAATTGAATCAACGTCTGCTCTACCTCAGCCCAGTCCTGTATCCCGCTCGCAAATCCAAAGAGCAGTGGATGAAAGTCCAAAGGAAAGACTGGTGGATCATCCAGATCGCGTCAACCCAGGACAACCCAATGAGCATGCACTGAACCACCAGAATTATTTTTAAGAAGAATCAACGTTTACATGATCGAGGACTAAATTATTTCGGCTTTAAAATCGGAATAAGCCACCCCACTTACTTCAGAATTAAGTTTAATTAGTTAAATAATAATTTTCATTATAAATTAAGTGTTTACATGGTCTTTTAACAGGGGAAATAATTTTTATTCAGAATTTAATTATTTTTATTAGGAATTAAAGCTCTCATGTAAACGTGGCAATTGTGCGATTTGAATGAAAAGCACCTGTGCGTAGAAATGCACATTGCATTAAGACATTTAATTTAAATAGGGAGTAATTCCTCACTCTAATTACGGGTATTTGCAGGAACAACACTATTTGTAATTTTTGGGCTAGTTCGCCATAAGGTAAAAAGATATCAGCTGTCTTTTAATTTGGTAAACATGCCACATTGAAAAATAGTTTTCAACTCTACTTTCCAAAAGCTCCTGTTGCCTCAGCTGTGTGAAGGGGCTGTGAGTAGATGTAACTATACTTACAGATTAGCTTTGCTTCACTGATTTTTCCATCAGAACAGAGCTCCAAAGAGCTGGGCTAGTGACCGACAAGAAGGTCGCAGCATAAAACTCCCTTGACAGTTGAGAAAATCTCTGCAGAGACACTACATTAGTAGTCTGACTGTCCTGAGGCTCCTATACAGAACATTAGTACAGCTAATATATTTAATGGAATGTAATGTGTGTTGATTGTCTGTTATATATATATATATATATACAGTCATGGACAAAATTGTTGGTACCCCTCTGGCAATGAAAGAAAAAACATCGACAATCATCACTGAAATAACTTGAAACCGATAAAAACAATAATAAATAAAAAATTACTGAAAATTGCTCAATGAAAATCAAACATTGATTTTCACCTGTGGTTCAACAGAATTATTAGAAAAAACTAAATAATGAAACTGGCCTGGACAAAAATGATGGTACCCTCAACTTAATATTTTGTTGCACAACCTTTTGAGACAAACTCTGCAATCAAACAATTTCTGTAACTGTCAATGAGACTTCTGCTTTGGTCAACTGGTATTTTGACCCACTCCACATGAGCAAACTGTTCTAGTTGTCTCAGGTTTGAAGGATGCCTTCTCCAAACAACATGTTTCAGCTCATTTCACAAATGTTCAATAGGATTGAGATCTGGGCTCATTGAAGACCACTCCAGAATAAACCAATGTTTTGTTCGTAGCCATTCTTGGGTGTTTTTAGCTGTATTTTGGGTCATTATCCTGTTGGAAGTCCTATGGCCTATGACTGAGACCAAGCTTTCTGACACTAGGAAACACATTTTGTTCCAAAATACACTGATAGTTTTGAGATTTCGTTGTACCTTGCACAGATTCAAGACGCTTTGTGCCAGATGCAGCAAAACAGCCCCAGAACATAACCAAGCCTCCTCCATGCTTCACAGTAGGGACAGTGTTCTTTTCTTGGTCTGCTTCATTTTTGTGTCTGTGAATATAGAGCTGATGTGTCTTGCCAAAGAGCTTCAGTTTTGCCTCATCTGTCCAAATGACATTCTCCCAGAAGCTTTATGGTTTGTTAATATGCATTGTGGCAAATTCCAGTCTATTTTTTAATGATTTTCTCTCAGCAGTGGTGTCCTCACATGAAATCCACTTTGGCTCAAACAGTGATGGATGGTGCAATCTGACACTGGTCTACCTTGCCCTTCAAGTTCATATTTAATTTGTTTGGTGGTTATTCTGGGCTCTTTGGTTACCATTCGTATGATCCATCTCTTCAGTTTGTTATAAATTTTTCTCTTGCAGCCACATCCAGGGAGGTTGGCTACAGTCCTGTGGACCTTAAACTTCTGAAGAACATGTGTAACTGTAATCACAGGAACATCAAGCTGCTTGGAGACGACCTTATGGCCTTTATCTTTAACCTGCTTGTCTATCATTTTCTTTCTAGTCTCCTGACTCAGTTCTCTTCTTCTCTTTCTCTAGTCCATGTTCAGTGTTGTCTCCAAACAGCACAATGACACATGTCCCCCCTTAAACAGGCAGACTGACTGAGGACAAGTTTGAAGACACCTCTGATGCAGATTAGAGGACACACAGTCCCTATTGTCCAATTACTTGCAATCTTTTCTAGGGGTACCATCATTTTTGTCCAGGTCAATTTGATTATTATTATTATTAGTTTTTTAATTCTGTTGAACAACAATTCAAAAGCAATGTCTGACTTTCATTGGCTATTTTTATTTATTATTGCTTTTATTAATTTCAAGTTATTTCAGTGAAAATTGATGATTTTTCTTTCATTGCCAGAGGAGTACCAACAATTCTGACCACAACTGTGTATATAAGTTTATGAGATATGGTTACCCAGTCTGCATGATTTGATTTCTCTTCATACTACGTATCATACTAGCCTGTTGAATGAGGACTCTTTGATCATTGTGAAAAACTGAAAGATAAGCCAGTATTGTTTGAGCTGCAGACCTTTTGTACACGAAGACTATAATTGTGCTTCTCTGTATTTTTCATACTATTCTTCGAAACCTTCAGTTTTCTCAGTCTCATTTGTGCCTGTTGTCTTGTCTCTAGCTCATGACTGCTGTGAGGCTGTGCTTGTCACGCTGTGCTCCATCAGTCCAGCATCAGAGGACTGGGTTGGTCATGTGACTCCTCTGGCCGAGCACCGCTTCTGTTTTGTCCAGGACTTGGCCTTTGACATGGCCCAGTTTCTGGTAGGTTACATTTTACCATCCATACAGAATATCAGTATTTTTTCCTATTATTTTATACAACAATGGCTATTTTACCTGAAAAAAAATAAAAAATATATATATATATATATATAATATTGCAGCAAGTGAGAAATATCAAGTCAAATCAAGATCTGCAAATTAAATAATTATTCAGACAAATGCAGCAGTAGTTCCTTTTTGACCTGTAAATTTTTTTTTTCAGAATATTGTTTAGAAAATCACATAACACTATCATTTGCATTCGTGTTCACTTTTATCTTCCATCCATAACACTCTATCCCTACAAACAGTACTTAGCAGTTGTTTGTGAACAGGTGAGCACTGCAGGGCGGACTGATGGCCTGGAGGGGGCGCTGTTGCTGGACGAGTGTCACATTCCTCTGAGGGAGTGTGAACGCTTGGATGACAGCCTCGCTTTGGCTCTGCACCACCTAATACTGCCCCCAGGATGGAGCTTACTGGGCAGCAAACTGTCCAACAGCACAGGTGAGACAGGCACTGAACTGTTTGTAACGTGTGGTTTTCTAGCTCTCAAAGCGAACCAGGCAATATCAAAACCACTAGTAATATAAATTGGCAGCTGTGGAGTGTTGCCTTTACCTGGAGCTATTGTTTTGGCAATTACTGAAAAGATGCTTTACTTTCTGACATAGATAATAGCTTGTAGTTAGACCTGACAGAAATCCAAGTTATATTTTGATAAAGCTGCCAAAACAGTCTCAAATCAGCTCCTGGCAGAAAAGGTACAAAGATGTAATGAAACCTATCAAGTCAGATTATCTGTAAACAGCTCCAAGACGATAACATATGACCCACTTGTTATTGTTGTGAAAAATCGTCCAGCGTAGATGGACACCCGCAGACTCTTTTGCATTGAACTCAGCTGTCATGTAGCTGATGCGGAGGGCTGCTTCCCACTGCGGTGAGTGATGTGTGCTCTAATAGGCAGTGCTTCACAATATGTCACCACTTCAATACAAGACATTCAGCTGCTGCGAAACTGCAGGGAAGAAAGAGGAGGGTGGCTCGGCTCGCCATTCATCAAACATGTCAGAAGAGCGATCGCATCAGACTATAGGTGCAGGTGACAGTGGTTTATCTATCTCATTCCTCATGCTGGGGATGTGAGTGGCCATTCTGCAGACTATGTGACCAATGAGTGTAGGCACAATATGATGTTGGGATTATGCAGTTTTACTATTAAATGTGATAATTAGGATCATTAAAAATACTTTTGAATAGCAGCATTATTGGATTTAACCCATACTTCCAAAATTGTATACATTAAATACTATATTTATGACAGTTTTCACATTTTATTTTGGGCAACAAAGACAAATACAAATATAAACATTTTATTTGTACCACTTGTAACATATTGTAAATGTTGAAACTAAGTAATCCTAAGAACTGTGAAAATGATTAAGTCAGCTTGTCTCTACTCACAAATAATACATTCCTGTGCAAGTTACAGACATGTTAAATTTATGTTGCTTTCACATTTTACAATAATAACAAACGTATTGTTGCTATATCAATAGGAAATTGTGCATTAAAAAACTAAACAAAAACACTTTATTTTATTATAATTTATCTATGCGCAGTGGCAAAAGAAGATGTTGCATGTTTTACAGTGGTTGTCCATTATTGTCCATTCCAGTGTGTCATTGGTAGAGTGGAGTGTTTTATGGTATCATTAGGAGTTCCTCTGATAAACGTGCCTGATAATGGACTTTAATTAAAATGGCTGGTGTTGCTTACCTTGGCTAAAATGAAATGGGGTTGATTTCACAGCATGCATCATTATGCTTGTGGTCATTACTTTGATAGTTTTACTATTGCATCTTGCCGTAGATCTTTCTAAAAGGCAATTTGACATGACACCCGTGTATTAACAAACCACAACTACCTGAAATATTGTGTTAATTTAACTTAAGATACCATGGCTCTTATCTGATTGGTCGAGCTAATGGGACTGTTTTGACTTAAAGAGATGTAATTCTGTTCTTTCTGCCCTCAATTTTCTAAGTGAATAGATCGCTTTATAAATCCTTTGTGGGGTAACCAAAAAGCCATGGACACATAGAAAAAATGACAATAATTGATGATCTACATTTGTGTCTTGTTCAGACTTGGACCCTCAGGAGACTTTGCTGCACTTTTCGGCCCGTCGAGGTCTATTTCAAGTGACTCAGTTTCTGCTACAACAGCCTGGAGCAAAAGAAGCTTTGCGACTGACCAACAGACAAGGATACACTCCTTCAGCCATTGCAGCCTTGAAAGGCCATGACTGCCTTCAAGAGCTCCTTATTAGGTGAGTGGAAGTTTGTACCATTATAATTTATATTATAATAAAGAGTGGCCAAATAATATTTTATGGTTAAAGTATATTGTCTGCTTGTCTTATAATGATAAACAAGCATGATTCACAATAGAGCTTTGGATTTTTGATTGCACTTTTACTGAATGTTTGATGATAGCCTAGGCATAATATAAGGACCCCCATGCTACATATTTGATCAGGTTTGTGGAAAAGAAGTCTCAAATCAAAATCCATAATCCACATATATACAGAATTTGCAGTACTGTATACTTTTGAAATTATGTAATTGTTACATTGGCTGCTTTTTAGACACCAAAATCCAAATAGCTTTTGTGAGATTCTCAAAATGGATTATGATGCACTAAAGCAAGTATGTCTTGTGTATGCTGAAGTTACTTGTTATGTATTGGTAATTACAATACTTTCATCGAAGATGAAGTCATTTGAAGCTCAGCTAGTGACCTCAGCTGCCAGACCTTGAAGCTAAACTAAAGCATACACCCAAGATTACGCAAACAGATTCGCCTGCCTGGGAGGTGTCTAAAGTGCACTGAGCTGTCTGCATGGGCTCAAAAGACAAACTTTCACCTTCTAAAGCATGAGAGGGAGAAAGCTATCTGTTCACATTTGTTTTTTGTATATTTAAATGACCACTTTTGATAAGAATGGTGCCGCATGTTTCATGAAAACACTCAACCACTGTGTTCACGGACACAGCAATGCAAGTACAGAGACACATTATTGTGTAGTGTGGGCTGAGGGGAAAGGGGGGAGTTGGGATCACGTCACTGTTAAAGTCAGTTTTTTATGCAGTACTGTGGAGTGTTGGCCAATCACACCAGAGCTGTTTCTAAGTGATCTAAGTGTTTGTTTCACTACAGGGCTGAGAAGGACATAGAGACGTGCAACCAGACTGAGACTGTACAGCTGGTCTCTACAGACGCCCAGTTAGTTTGCCACCTCCCTCGCCTGAGCACCCACACTCTTACCCTGAGCATCGTACCAGGCCGCGACCCTCCAAGCATTCAGAGAAGCGTAGAACAGCTGCTGCACTTGATATGTCATCTTCATGCCAAGGTGAGTCATGCCACCCTGCCCTTTGGCACGCTATCTCTGCCCATGTTGGCTTCACCCAGAAGCTCCTGCTGAACATTGTTTGTCTTTTCTCTGCCCTCCCTTTTTAACCTTGATAGTTTGTACAACCAGTGGAACACCTTATGTAATCAGTAAGCCAGTAATTGATAAGGAAGCTAATGTTTTTCATCCTCCCTTCCTCTCTCCTGTAGGGAGTTTCTACACTAGAGCTGCAGTTTGACTCTCTGCACACGGCTGCCGAATGCTGTGAGGATATAGAGACTGAGATAACCTCAGTGGAGCGACTACACACTGCCACAGCACCAGAGTGCCTGGATAAAAGAAAACAAGGGAGTGGGAATGAAAACTGTTCCGCGGGAAGCAGCCAGAGCATTGCTGACTGTGGACATGATGAGAATGGGAATTCAGAAAGAGACTGGAGCTTGTGTGGGGGGACCCCAGAGGTAGAAAAACCTGAGGAACCTGGCCTTAGCCCCTCACTGAACTGGGTGTGCCGTGCTGCAAATGCTGGGAGTGATTACCAGAGAGCAGAGGAAGAGGGAAGGCAGTGGCCAGCCTCCTCCACTCAAAGTCTGTGTGATAGGAGTGGAACACATGAGGAGACAGTGTGTGTGGGAACCGTGCCTCCAGCAGCCTGTGGTAAACAGGGAGAAGACACTGATACGAGAAACACTGGGATCCAGGAAGGACAGGAGGCCACGGAGAGGAGAGAGAGATCTGAGCAGGAAGCTGAGCACAGTAGAGACAGAACACATGGTACAGAGGAGACCGAGCTTGCTGAACTAATAACATCCAGTGAAGCCACAACTGCCTCTCCAATGGGCCTATCCCCTTCTACTGAATGTTCTGATATGTCTGATACATCTGACTGTGAATTAAAGGACAAAGAGGAAGAAGACACGGGTGAGCCCAATGTAAGAGAAGAGGAGAAAGAAGACACCAAAGAGTTAACTGACTTTAGCTGTGCCTCGGAGGACCAAAGCCCACCACTGACAGACTGCAATGATGTAATCGCAGTGTGTGATAGTGCTTTTCCACCTCTCCTGATAGAGGGCCTCCATGAGGGGGAACCTCCACCCCACACAAACAGCCTGGAACAAAACCAGGAAACAGCTGGTAGGGATTATGCTCTGGAGCAGCAGTGGGGCTTGACTCCAGAAACAGGTTGTCATTCTGGGAATTGTACCGGGATTTCAACTGGTGAAGAATATGTTCAGTGCACAGAGGATACTTCTGCTGAAATTGTGCATGTAATTCAAAGCACTGATGTGCCTACAGAGGAACTAAACCACCTGGAAGAAACATCTGTCTCTGATTTTCAGACTGATATCTTTTTGGGACCATGTCAAATTGTGCCTAACACTGGAGTGACACCACATGCTCATGTGGAGCTGGAGATGATCCATGTTACATCTAGTGACGATGATGCCAGTTTTCAGTCAGTGGGAAGCTCAACAACTGACATTTTTCATCCAACGGACCAAGCTCGCACTGAGGGACAAGGACTCAGGACTGAAGAGCGACTTGCTGAGAAGTCTTGTGACATAGATTCACTCACAGTGGGTGTAGAGCTGCCTTCAGAGTCTGCCATTGTCAATACTCGGACAGTGCCGGACTGCAGCCAGACTGGAACTGGGCCTGGACATCAACTGTCACCCAGTTCTCACACAATGAAGCCTTTGATTGTTGAGGCCAAAGAAGGCGAACTGTCCCCCAACCCTTCCACAGAGGAGTTGCTAGAGGAGCCACAGGCTGAGAACTGGGTTTCATCAGCAATAAAAGCTGATGATAGCCAAAATGCATTTAACAGCTCAGACAAAAATGTGTTTACAGACAATTCAACATCAGAAGTTGAACATGTCTCTCTAGCTCCAACTCTTGCAGTATCTAATTGTGACATTAAAGCTTTGCAAAACTGTGAAACTACTGCATATGAAATCAAAGATACAAATATGACAAATGAGGAATTACCACATTCAGGGAATACCACTATATTATCCATGCCTTCTGATGGTCTGGATGACATTTCAACCAGAACTTTTTCAGCCCAGTTAAACAGCAGCGTGACCAGTGTACCTGATAGGGAAGAGGGATTATTGACCCACTCTCTAGACTGTGTGGATGGTGCTTCAGAATTACAGGACAGCCCGACACAAGGTGGGAAAGCACTGATTTATTTCAGTTCTTCTTTATGTTTGTTTTTGTCTCATATGTTTACATACATCACAGGGTAGTGCGTTTATCAAAGTCTAATACATGAACAAATATAGTAAATCAAATTAAGTCTGTCATGCAAGATTAATGGCAACAACTCCACAATTCACAAAGCTGAACATAATATAACTCACAATATTTTACTCACAGATGTTGCTGCTTTTAAAAATAGGAAAAGAAAAGCTCAATTTGTCACACAATAGGGAAATTAGATTGCTCCAAAAGCAAAATACAGCAGCAGCAGCTAATAAAGGACGGTAAATATGTATAAGCTACAACATTACAGAAATATTGTATGCCAGTTTATGTGTGGTGTTATGTTATTAAAGCTGTTGAAGTTGTAAAGGTAATTTGCAGAACATAATTTTGTGTAGAGCATGTAGTGCATTACAATACGTTACTACAGGTTGTACAATATATGTGTACCATGCATACACATTCTACTAGTCACGTTCAAGACCATATGACACAATCCAAAAGTGGAAGGCTGTGATTTCAAAAGCAAACACACAGTTTGACAGAGCTGTCTTTGTAAAAGGACTTTAACAAAGTTCATGCATTTTCATGTGAGCAATATACAGTAAACCATCAGCAGCTACAACAAATTCATGCTGGGATACTTCATATAGTTGTTTGCTTGCTTGCTTGCAGAGATATATTTTTGCAAGCCAAAGGATCAGAACCCCCCCTTGTGAGGCAGTGAGCACGGAGTCACAAGATATTTTCAAGATATCTTTTGAAGACACTGTATTTATTTCATTGTTTAACTGAAAACAGCATAATTCAGTGAAATTAAGTATTCAAATAAACAACATAAATACTCTACGTATTTTGTTACTTTCACTTCGCAGTGGGGGTCGCAATTTTGTCTGTTGGTTATTGGAAGTGTCATGGCCTGAAAAGTTTGGAAACCATTACAGTGGATCGTAAACATTATTACAAACAAACCACACTGCAGGGAACACAAATGTTACAACTGAAAGCTTTTCAGTGCAACAGTACAGGAAGATATTCCCTTTACGTACACTTATGATACAATTGTTTGCATTTATTTATCTTACAATACACTTATTGCATTGTGCTATGTGCTATTCAGATGTGGAGGATAATGTAGCAGACGACGAAGGCAATGACGCTGCTGTAGAGAATACTTCACTGGTAAGTTCTAAATGTATTTGTTGTGTTTTGCTCTGTGTATGTAGATTTTTGCTCAAAACATCTGCCACTTAACTATCAAAGTTTGTAGATGCAAATGTTAGAATGTGTTTTGTATTGTATTGAGTATTGAGGGTCCGTAGCTCATTTGGTCCACGGTGTGTGCATGCATTAGTCTGAAATGTTGCTGACTGACAGATTCCTGAGCAGCCAGAGAGTGCAGTGGTGATGCTTATTCCTGGGTTGTGGTCTGAGTCAGTGGCTTGTTCTGAATGCCAGATGTTGGACTGCCATAGGACATACACAGATGCAGAAGACTGGGGTCGCCAGCAGAGGGCACTGTAGTCTCAGCTGCCCACTTAAGCATTCTCACTAGACCAGATGGAGAATTTAATGACCAGCCATTTGATCCCTTGAAATTTCCTGTAATTTATACAACGGGCTGGCAATTTTAACCCATCCTGATGATAAATGCAGCATTTGCATGGTTGTCGAAAGCCAATTGTAATTATTAATCAATGCACTATAATTAGTAAACTGTATTCAATTAAGTTTTATTGCACAATTCAGAAGGATAAGCACATTTTAAACCTTCTTTTGAGTAGAAGGTTGGGGAAGTTAATTTAATTTACTGCATTAATTGTTTCGCAAATTTTGATTTAATAGAAGTGTCTCATTCTGTTTGGATTTGGTTGTACGAGCATAAGATGTAAACATAGAATTTTGTGTACTTGCATAAAAAACAGAAGTTTTCTCATGTAATGTTAAAATAAGGTATTAAAAGTGTAAAAATCGCTGCAGTTACACATATTTGGGACATATTTGAAAAATTGATAGAGCCAAGTTTATATTTCTTCATTTTACGTACAACTATGGATATTTTATTTGCTATTTGAGTACCCACAATCTCACTAAAATACATAAAAATTCTTATTCTTATTTTTTTGTTGTTAAAACTTAAATAAACTAGGCTTAGCTATCAACAAAAGCTGTATAAAATTGTTCAAAATGATAATGAAATAAGGAAACATCTTTAGGTGCAGATTTCTGTTGTTTCCAAAAACATATATGTTGAGAGAGTGCATCCTGGTAAAAAAAAAAATAAAAAATCCTATAATGTCTGGCCTCATTTGTTTGTGCACACATCATTTTAATTTGGTTTTGTTATTTAGATGTTTCAGTTAAAACCTTGCCACTTTTAAATTGACAATGTTTTTTTTGTGTGTGTGTGTTTCTCTCACTTTTTATCAGCCGTTAGAATCGAAGAAATGAGCTTCTAAAGTTGGCTTACGTGACTACCATTTCCTTTCATTGGTATTCACATCACTGTGCTATCTGTAAGCATCAGTGCCTAGGTTAGAACTAGAGCTGTGTTTGACCCTACTGCCTTGTGTTTGCTGTCATTTGCATACAGGAAGTTTTGTCACTGAAAGAAAGTTATTTGACATTGTTAGATGAGATCATTCTATCGGCTGATAACAATGAACTAACAACATTCTATGATGCTGTTAGCTGGCTACTCCTGTTGACAGGCTCACTCGGAGAGAGGGAAAAGTGTGAGGCTGAGGAAAAGCTTGAGTCAGAGAAGTTGTGAGGCGACAGGGGGAGGAGAGGGACGGCACGAGGGCGGAGGGGACGGAGCAGAGAGGAGGAGAGTGGGCAGGAATATGCTTCAAGGCGACTTCTATGGCCAGATGTGAAGCCTATAGCACACAAGCTCTCTCCATCTCTCCATTCACCACTCTTTTTACTGGATTTAACACTTTTCATTCATCTGGGGACAATGTATGAGCGACACAAGAGGAGATACAGTCTGTGTGCCAAGGGGGAGAGAGCTGTAGACGTGGTTTTGATAAAGGTAGGGCGTAAAAGTAACTTCAGCGTGGTTTTCTAGCTGTGTTCTGCCAACTTCTGTAATGACTGCTATGAGAGTCTTAAAATCATAGTGTTTGACTTGAAAGACAAATTGAGGGAGAAAAGTAATCAGAAACATGCTCCAGGAAAGTTGTTGAAAAATACCTTAAGAAATATTTCATTTTCCTTCTCTGTCATAAAGCATTTGGCATTCAAAGTAGTGTCAGAAATGTTTGAACAATCTTGCATCTTGTGTTATAGTGACAGGTCTTGCAGCGGTGCACCCTGGGAGATAATTGCATGCTTGTGTTTAGAGTGGCCCTACAAACACAGTGCTGATTATTTTGGTGAGGAGGTGTAGTTTCTGGTGTCAGAGTGCACCAATATGTTTGTGACAATGACACATTTAGCTTCCATGAAGTCTGTACAATAACATTAACACTAGTTATTCCTGGTGTTTTTACTGACAATAAAAAGATTACAGTTACTATAAAAAATTATGCATATAATTAAAGGGACGGTACCAGTTTTTTCATGTATTTGTACAAAAGTCTTGTCCAAGCACAGATATGTGCTATAAGTAGCTCTTGAGGTAAAAAAAAAAAAAAAAAAAAGAAAAAAGAAAAGAGAAGAAAAAAGTCAGCCGCATGCTGTTTGCATCTAATTTGATATAATTTATTGTCTTATAATCAGGAAGTGTGTGTTAGCATGCTAGTTGTTAGTAGTGTTGTTAGCTTTATTGTGACAGTACAAATCTGCTCTGAACTCATAAACTCACCCCTGTGAATAAGTACGAAGCTCAAACCACTGCAAACCATTTAAATTAGATTAGTTCTCTTTTTCAAGTTTTTAAGACAGTAAAAATCTGGTACAGTGCCTTTAACATTAGTCAAAGTTAGAACCAAGAACTCCTTGGACTTAATATAAATGAGACCATTATTATGCCCCAATGCTGGACTATTTAAAGCTTAAATGCCATTTAGCTTCACTACATATAGACCTTCCTCTCTGCCTCTGGGGATTTTTACAGGTAGAAGTGACAGTAATGGTGTAACTCCTTAAGTGTCTTCTTCTATTGGAGAGCTAATTTTGTCATCAATGGTGATATATGCAGTAGATTCTTAACAATTTCCTTTCAATTCCTTTCTTTCTTTATGTTGTTTTGAATTTAAAACTCATAAAAACAAACTAACATTTGACACAAGACACATTTGTAACTAAAAAGAATTACATTACATTTGTATCTTTTAAGTGGAGGATCCGCCATCATGTTATTATTTTGTCTGAAAATGTTCACCATGTGTTGTTAACTCAATCTAAGTTGCATTTATTCAATTGCAGATATTTATTGCTAAAATACCTTGAAAAACATGTGTTCTTATAAGCAGTGCAGATTCACCTCTTCCCAGATTTGGCCTGTGCTTGTCTCCATGGAGATAGATAAGTTTAAAGCAATAATATGCATGCAAACAATCAGGTCCTCCACCAGAAAAGTTGCAATGTGTTCCTTTAAATAAATACATACCCTGTCAGTATGTATTCATTTTGGGGATATTGTAGAAGCAGATGAATCCTGCCATGGAGATAATGCTTGTTATGACACCTTGAATAAAAACAGTGTGCGGGCGACCTTTCCTTGGTACATTGTCACTTGCTAAACTTGCCCCTGATGTCAGTGCCTCGCGCTCTCCCGTGGGTGCAGTAGTGAGGATGAGTGTGGGAGACGAGAGCGGATGAGAGGGAGAGAGATGGGGTGAGTGATCTGATGCTGGCGGATGGTGGGAACCGGCTGAGCTAGGCTAACGGTTTCCTCTGGATTCAGATGGAAACAGGCACGGTGCCAAATGACTTCATTGCAGCCACTATTTCACATCCCAGCGTCTCCTCTGGCCCAATTCACCAAATGCACCATCACAAGGGCACACACTGTGAGCAAGCATGTCAATTTAAAGGATACTACAGTAAAATGAGGTCCCTGCAATGCCTAAAATAGCCAACCTAACCCCCAAAGCTCACTATTTAGGAAGTACACTGCAACAGTGGCACAGGCTTTATTATATAGCTGCTAATGAGGCACTGAACCCTTCAAGCTGCAGAGAAATGTTTTACAAATGCTATTCTTTACAATTTTTCCTTTGTGTCTGATTTTCATAACCTTAAAACATAACACTTCCTAATAATTGTTTCATTATGATGAACCTAGTATAATGAAACTATACAAATATATGGATTATTTGGTTTCAGCGTATGTTTTCAAAGGTTAAGCAGTGTGTTAAACTTTTATATGTAACTTTTCTAGTTGAGGGTATGGCATGTGTTTGTTTCCTGGAACATGTTGTTACTTTGCCCGAAATGTTCCCCATTATGGCATTAATTATCCAAAAAATAAGCGCACCTTTAAACCTAAATTTCTAATTACTGGGATTTGTGCTTGAATGCTATAGTCTTTTAATTGTTAAATTACTTTTTTAAATGTTTTTTTTTTCTCTCTTTTTAAAGGAATATTTTCTTAGAGTGATTCTTAAATACATACTTAGAGTTACATTGTAAATATACTCTGTTTTTGGATAGTGTTGAACCTGTTGACCTCTTTACTAAAGTAACATAGATCTAGACTATTTCTAGACAGTATCGCATTGACATTTATCATTGTAATTTAGGAAACACCTGGCCACTAACATATCTCCCCTCAGCTGCCACAACTTTTTGAACAGAAATAAAAGAAAGTCTCAAGCCGTGCTTTGTTACCCATACCATCTCTAATCCTTATTTTTTAACCAGATGTGTTTTTACTGGGTACAGTAGATTCCCCTGATACTACAAAAATGCACAGAGCTGAAACTGAACTGCCATACTTAAATACTTCTTTAAACCTATTGGGGACCTGCTCTTGATCTCACTTAAACTTATTTTTTTGTGGAGTTTCATTTGTAGGTAATAACAAATATCATAAACAATCATACTCATATTTACGTTTATATTACCAGATACTACAGTTCCAGTTACTTAATTACAACTGTCACTAAATAATAAATTAGCCTAGGCTCTTTCCTGTGTAGTGTAGGTGTTTTGCAGTCAGCACTATTTTGTCTATCTGGTGTTCTGCTGTCACTGCTCTCTTCTAAGATTGCCCCAAGTTGCTTTTTGTAATTTGTTACAATCACTGGCATCGCCTCAGTTCTGTACCGAGCCTGAATTGGAGCGAGTGTGTGTTTGTGTGCGCTGGCGTCCTCTGTGACCGTCTAATCTCTCCTCGTCAGCATGTTTGTACTCCTCAGTGGGCCCTGTTTGATATCCGAATGCAGCTGTGGAAAAGCCAGTGTGTGCACTTAGTGTGTGGGGGATTTCATTTTGTAGCTTGTGAGGCAGGAGAGCTGGAAACAGGGTATAAAGTGTCCAAAGACATGCAGCTCGGTCGCTGAGAGGTGTTGGTAGAAGGTGGTGGCTTCTGCGTTTCATTCCTTCATTTGTGCATCACCATACAATTTACATCAAAATGAGGGGGATACATAGGAGTATTGTGGAGTTTTTAAATCTAATCAAATTATGATTTCTTCCACATTAGAGCTTCACAATAAATGATTTCAACAATAGTTAGTGTATAGTATACATGCATATAGAAGTTATATAGTTATTGTGTCAGAACCTAGTATTTTCAAAACAAATTACAGTTCTGGATTATAATCTCTAAAATTACATATTTTTGATTTTCCCAGTGACAATATTCAGATATTATGACTATCCATCAGAAATGAAAAGGTATAACTTGGTTGAGGTTCAAGTATAGGTTCAATAAGTGATAAGTGTGAAATGAATCACAAAAGTGCATACATAGCACTTTAAGACCTTATCTGAAGTATTAAACTTTTTTTTAAAGAGGCATTATGTAACTTCTCTTCTTGTCTCCATAAAGATATATTTGTTTAATGTAACACTGGGGAACATTCCATAGAAAGTGATAAATCCATTGTGATATTATTAAATGTTTAATATATCTCCCATCTCTGATCTATATACATACAGCATAAATGACAGTAAGGGGTCAAATGTTACCAAATGTTTCTTTTTTCTAAAACATCTTTAAATTTGTAAATTTGCATCAGTACTAAGCAGGCAGGAACATATCTACCCCACTATTTTTTTATTATATCTCAGTGTAGTCACATGGACACTCAGAAACAACAACATAGAGTGTACACCTCATCCTTTAATGCACAAAACAACAGAATCACGCCCACCTCTTAACCACACTCACCTGTATGCAGCTAGTACAACACCACATAAATATATTCAAAGTTGTGGTTTTCCGAAGCACCACATTTGGAGTCAGATCTCATCATCTTTATCCTGACTCCTCTGCTGGAGCTCATAAAAACACTATGAGCTTTCTCCTAGGCTGACATACCCACATTCAACGCTGCCACTCAACACTGCATGAGTGAAGCCCAACTGTAGCTGCTTTGCCTGTGCGTGCTAAGAGGGGCTGCCTGTGGCTTCTGCTAGCTTAAACCACCCTCTCTCTTTAACACACATGCCGTTGTATCAGCTCACCGACCACAGAGGAAGCAGTGCACCAGTGTTGTGTGTTTTTACCACCAACCGCAAATCCTCTGACAGCCCTACAGTGCGATTTGACTACAGTTTTTATCTTGAAGAGAATAGACTAGGAGAAAACACATATAAACTGACCTCACTGCCTGCTGTTAGGAGCGGTGTTATTGTTACCTCCCATCCTGTGATGTGAGTAGCACTTCCTTACAGCCACACTCCGGCGGCATCATAATTTCTTTGTGGGTGACGATCACATGTTTGCAAAGGCTGATTCACTGTCTTCCTGTTTCTTGTGTAGATCCACCGAGACAGAGAGGCGACTTGTGGGCCATGCAACGCTCTGCAGTCAGGTAAGACTAATAAGACTTTGAATCATCATTATTGCACATTGATACTGGGAACTATGAAGTAATGCATTAAGGTGGCCTGGTTTAAACTTGGGAGTCACTTTTTATCATAACTTACATAATGCTGCTGCTGTTGTTGATAAAACTCAGACTGAGGAATATTGTTTTAGATAGTATTAAGTGGTTTCCTTTGAGTCTGAGGTTGGAGGAGGGGGATTTTTCAGTTTATAAGTAAGACCGTTATTCAAGTTTGTGTGTTTAACCATGTAGAGTCATTTGTTTTGCTACTAGCGTTTGTAGTTTATAGTCTATATCTGGATATTATTCCTTCCCTTTTAAAGCTAGTGTAAATAAACATTTGCTGTTTTGCTGTTAATTCTTTTGGGAGTGAAACTGTTTTGTGTCACTATTTTGTGTGCTTTCTTTATACATATTGATTTTAGACCAAACAAAATGCATTATTGCGGAAATGTGTGTGTCAGTTTCATTTTATGGTATAGCATTTTGTTATAAATGATACAGCCTTGTACTGAGCTTTCTGAGTATTATTATGGCTTGTTTTCAGTTAATGGAAGCATAAATGTATAATGATGAATGCATAATGTAATAAAAAATGCATACAAGTTAAACCAGATGTAAGGGAAGACTTATATTGTCTTTGGCTAATATTGAAGTGATGTGCCAGTGATGGGAAAGTCAAATTTGTGTGTGCACAATCTAAAGTGTGTATGCTAGGCCTCTGTAAGAGTCAGTAGTCTTGAACCCGGCCATAGTTCCTTCAGTTCAGTGTCAAATTGAGACTCCATGATACTTCCTTCATTAGTGTCTGTCTATCAAGCTGAAGGTAGATCGCTGCGGGAGGTTTGTGGTTCCTTTGAAAAGAGTCAATGCTTCCTTGAAAAGTGTCAGTTTAATTTACGGTGACATTCATGCCTCTGGTTTACGCTGCTGCCTGTAATGTTACATTTGTCATGCCTTGTTTAGCTCTGCTCATGCAGCTAACCCTTATTTATATAGGAGGAGACTCTCAGGGTGTGCCGAGGCAAAATGATACAGTTTGAAAACATAGACATGTCAGCAGAGGTGGAAATTACATCTATTTAGTCACTGGAAAGCATTCACTTCCATTTCTGGATGCGTGAGGTCATCATTTTGTCTTCGCTCTTATGAAGTTGCCTCAGTAGACCGTCAGCCTTCAAGAATGCTGTGACTTGCATATCAATTTGGAAAAAATATAGAAGTGTGAGGTTTTGTTAAAAAATAGTATCTTAATATTTACCTGCATTATCTCAATAGTCAGACAATATTTTATCTATGCATCAGAAATGTGCTAAGTGTCAGGTCATGGTTGTAGTTCACGCCTAGCATAAAACATGAATGAGCCATACATTAACCAAGGCAGAAATTTTACTTTGTACCATTGTTTGGGAGATTACACTTTCCCTCTCTCTTAGGTCATTTTTTATGTTTTAATTATAGACAATATATTCAATATTATAATTTTGCCTACAACCATAGTGATATTATCCATTTTGCAATGTATCTTCACCTAAAAAGATGCTAAAACTTTTCTCTTGTTGACAGAATAATATTTTGTTTTTGCAGTAAGATGCAACCAAGTTCACTCATCATTGCTTGAAGTGGCCCAAAGGGCTGTGATCCCCAATCACTGCATAAGAAATCTTTGCCTTTAAAAAATACTGAATGTGATAAGACAAACTTATGCAAATGACTACAAATTCCTCTGCCAGTGAATGCGCAGACAAGGAGCCAGAAGTGGCAATAAAGCACCCAAATATGTCTTGTACTTAGGAAAAATATACAAGCTGTTGAGAGTGAGTGGTGATAAGATCTGCACTTAAAGAGAACACTAAAGGTGGCCGCAAGTGGCGACTTATCTCCACTGGCAGTGTACTGGAAGATGCAGTGAACACCATTGGGGGAACACACAGCCCAACTGGCAATTTATCTTGTGGCTCATTCATTGTTCACACCTCAGATTTGTGTGGATTATATCTTCAGTGTACGTTTTGGCTGTCCTATACATCTTACAGCACATTTTTCCTGGTTCCTGGCCATAGTTCTCCCAGTGGGCTATGTTAAAGGCACTGTACCTGATTTTTACTGTCTTGAAAAAGTGAAAAACAGAACTATTTTATTTTAAACAGAGTACTGTGGTCCAAAGTTATTCCTCACTTTACCTCATGAGTTTAGAAGCACAACACTCAAGAGACCAGTGCAGAGTTTTCCTGTCGTGGTAAAGCTACTACTAGCATGCTAATGCACACTTACTTATTATTGGTGAATGTAACACAGACGGCACGCAGCTGATATAATTTCACCTCAAGAGCTTAGATTATATATCTTATAAATTTTGCTCAACTACATGAGAGGAAAATTAGACATAGGATCTTTAAGAAACATGAAGGACACACGGTTCCATAAAACATGCTATTTGCAGAACCAGACTTGTTATAACTTCCACTAGTCTAAAGTTCCTCTTTCAGTGAAACAATATAAAGAGCTCATTTTCAAGAGTAAGGTTACAGATGACCACATCGATTAGCAATTAAGGGTTTGTTGATCTAATTAAAAGTTAGAAAGAAAGAAAGCAATGAATTTGGTCACTTTGGTCGATGGTTATGTACACTGTTTCCTTTCTAGAATAGTTGTCTAAACCTCTTTCTTGTAAGTGTGGATTGATTTGCATATTAAGGGAGAAATGAATCAGTAATAATAATTCAAAACTTCAGATGCCCTTCGTCAGCCATCCTAGCCCATTGTTGTGAATGCGTAGTCAGAAAATCATCTCAATACCTTATCTCAACTTCCATGTATAATATTCTCATTCATGTTCATTCATCACATGTAGATCCCTAAACAAGTCCACACACAGGGACCTACATTTTTACCATTGTTTTGCTATAAATCTGGATATTCCTGGATAGGGTTTGGTCCCCAGCCAGAGGGTAACCAGTTCAAACCATCCCAGACACCCACATTGACCACTCCATTTACAACATGTGGCTGGTTATGGCAGCAGAGGATTTCAGCCAAAAAGTAACAAATCTTTACATGGTTTGCTGTGGCAACCTCTAATGAGAAAAATTAGCAAGCCAAGAAAGAAATGAAAATGGCATAATGAATATTAACACATATCCCATGCTGTCTTTCTGACTTAACCTTATATAAATGTGGCACCTATAGTTAACAGAGGAGTCAATTTAAATATAAGCTGATTCATATTCAGGCCACAGAGGCAGGCAGACACCCACTGACTCATCAAGACTTTACAGCTGTTACTGCTCTCTCTCCGCATGGGTATAGTATATGTGTATGTGTGGCTCTGTTTTAAGGAGATACTGGGAGACAGCTGTCAAAGCTCACAGGCTCTCGCTAGTTTTGGGCAACAGGTGTGAGGGGGCGGGACCTCTCAGATCTGTCACCGATCTTAAGCCTGTCTTTCACATCCAATAGGCGCCTGTACTGCCTTTGGAGTGTAAGTATGTGCAATAATGGTTATAATGCAATGTTTTGTTTTCAGCTTATTTTGTTTTCCACGGTATTAATTTTGGCCATAATTATTTATATTTTAGGGGAATTACTTTTTTTTTTTTACAGTGTAAGTACATGCAACAATTTTGAAAAGGCTTGGAGTGGTTCAAAGTTATTCCTCACTTACCTTATCCATTCCAAGCCTTTTAAGTACTCACCACAAAGAGTTTAAAGGTGCTTTTCACAACTTTCAGAAGCCAGAGTGAAGTTTGCTGTCACACAAATCTAACAATAACAACACACAGTTCCTTTAACAACAACAAGACACATTTCCTTTAACACTTGGAATTAAATATAGACATCACGCAGCTGACATATTTCACTCAAATATATAGGAAAAATCGAGTACAGGGCCTTTAAGTCTCACATAAAGATATTTTTGAGTTTTATACTTCTTTAAGGTTAGTGAAAGTGTAATTAAAGTTATAATCAAAATATGGACTCCTGTGCAAAGATAAAAGACGAAATGGTTTATTCTCATATAAAGATGGTTTTGAAGTGTGCGTTTCTGTTGCATGTCCGTGTAAACGCTGTGTCACTTGTAGTCACTTCCTCTAAACCATGTTCCATTTGACCTCTTGGAGTTAGAAGTCATGCCCTGCCACTCCAAACAACCATCAGTATGCACTTCTAAGGCTTGTGTGAGTGGTCAATAGCTGCCTGCCAGACACTCCAGTGCTACAAGCCTGTTTGCTCATGTGTTGTGTTGGGAACAAGCTATAGCCAATTGACTTGCCACTCCCTGAATACTCCTAAAGCAGCTGACAGGAGCTTTAGGTCTGATTAAAGGTGCGCTATGTCAGTTTTTGGGTGGAGGGTCTGCAACATTTTTGTGTCCATGACGATGTTATTACTTTGCCCAGCATGAAAGGGCTTGTGTCTGATTTTTCTCCCTGTGTTTGAACAAAATTTGTCTTGTCCCAGTATAGATATATTGTTTAAGCAGCAGGTAAAATCAGTAAGTAAAAGATACAGTAAGTTAGCTGTGTGCTGTCTGCATCTAATTTGTCTGATTATCAGGAAGTGTGTGTTAACATGTTAGTTGTTGTTAGCTTTACTGTCACAGCAAAGCTCTGCTCTGATTTCTGCAAGTTATATGCCTAAACTCATCAAGTTGAATAATTCTTATGGTCAGAATGCATAAGGTAAATGAGGACTACCTTTGACCACCATTTGACTACCATTTAAGCAACAGATACAGGATAAACAGGCGTCTGCATTAAGTCAATAATAATTAGTGTAAAAATAACAAAATTGGAGCTCTCTACTGGATCAAAAAACTTACGCATATAGGTGCTCATCAAACCGGAGGGCTTAGATTCTTGTAAAATAGAAAAAAGGATGGCAGAGGCACATGTATTTTTTTAGCAGTAAAATCACATCATATGTGTCATATTGCGAAATATGTCAGACAAAGCAATATTTTCATGGCACATCCTCCACCAATAAAGTTACATAGTTCACCTTTAGGTTTGATAAGTCTATAGAACCACCATTTTTCTTATAGCATAATTTTGGATGGCCAGACATAGACAGCATGCACACCCACAAAACATTTCCTCTTGTTGACATAATTGCTGAGAACAGTCTTGGGGGAAAAACACTGACTTCCTCTTTTTGGCTAAAATAGATACCAGAAAAGATGCATAATAACAACCTTGGTAAATGATGTCACAGTTATTCTTGGCACAGGGTTTAAGACCCCTGTACTTCATCAGAGTCCAGACCCGCTGTTTAGCCTGGCCCTGGAATGTTATCAGTACACTGGAATGTAGAATGCCATTTTAGATTTAACTAGAATGCAAAGATTACATAAGCCTGCCACAATGCAATTTTTCAAGTGCATTATTGTACGATGTAACATTAGAATACATGATAACATCGAAGAAAACCTGTAGCATGATAATCCCTGAAAATAGTATAGCTGATCTAGCAATTATTTTTGCACATGCCTTTGCCACAATAGGAAAGAAAAGACTGCAATACCCTGTTGCATTTTTGCTTTATTTTTTATTTTTTTATTGCACCATTTACTTTTTATTCTACATACACAGGCAATAACATGTGACTGCAAATAAACAATATACTGGGTATGAATCAAAAATGCTTGGAGTCACTTGTGGGTAATTGAGCATCTGAATGTTAAGTTTGGAAATCCAAGTCAAAGGAAATGCTGTAAGAAATGTCACCTCTAATTGGCCCCATGGTGCATAACGGTACATGCAAAAACACACAAGCAGCCATTGTTTACCCTTGCCACCCAGCACAAACAGCTTTGGCCAGGACAGTCCTCTATTGATCTGCGAGGCTTTCACACCTTCTCACATGTCTGTTCTCACAAGTTCTTAGTCTAAACAGAAAGCCCTGTGTTTACACAGAAACTGAATCCTATATACTATGGTAGGGTATTTTGTATTACTTTATTTTATTTTTATTTTTTTTATCAGCACTGTTGTGTATTGTTCTGTCTTTCAGAATCTCCCCAGACTTTTGTGCTACCAACCCACAGTGCTACGAGCTGCCCGTCCACAAATCACAGAGACTCTGGCAGCGATTTAGAGAGCTTCATCACTGCAGAGTCTGGATATGACGGCGTCCTCAGAAAGGTCAGATGATTGTACATACATGTTTTTGACCCCAAGTGAAAGTAAAGAGTTTTGGTCAATCTGTATACTCCCGTGTTAGCCCCACAACCAACTACAAACTTATAATCATCTTTTAGTGCTAATGGGAAAATGTGGAAGAAGGTGAATGTTTCTAAGAATAAATAATACAGCAGTTCAGTCAATACAAGACGCAGCCCAAAGACTAATTTTCCAACTTATTCCAATACTTTTCTGGCTGCCATCCATAAATCTACATTCTGAAGCGAGAAACTAGTTTTGCAGCCTGTCTTTTGGGATTATGTACTGTATATGCAATCACAATTTTGTCAGTCAAACCCGGTGTTTTATTTATCTGCACCCTGAGGCTCAAATGGCTTTTACAAAGCGTAATTTTTAAGCCAGCGGCTGCAGACAGCTGCTAGGCAAGTGTATGTTTCACTTCCTGCTCCTGTAAACAAGGGTCCTTGTAGTTCATGTATTGTACATGCACTATATGCAATACAGGGTGCATGTGAATGCATGAATGATCACATATCACTAATTATACTGACTAATATTTGTAATGCTACCTAAAATGCAACTATATACTGTACATTTCTCCTATCCAGTCACAGTCCACGTTGTGTAGTCCTCAGCTCATGTGCTCTGCTCACACACATGAACCCAGCTTTGGGTCTCCCACAGGAAGTGCTCAATGCAGTATGAAGCCAATCTTTCATTCACATCCTCAAACAGAAGCAGCTCTATCTGCAGCGCTCACTGCAGCTGCTAGCACAATAGAGTCAGTTAAATGTCTCACCTACAAATTGGCTTTAAATGAACTACTTTCAAAGCACATGCAGGGGTATTTTCCCACATGACCAGGCAATAAAATAACTCCTAATGACATATTACCTTGGGCTTACAAATTCCCCCTTACACTATATTGAGAGCTCTAATTTACTCAATGGCATATTTATAACTGATCTTTGAATGCCCACAGAGCGATGAAGCTGTGACTGGAGGGGACAGTGCCAGTGAGGTGTCAGTCTCGTGCTCCTCCACAGACGACACTGCCAGTATCGGGCCGTCCAGCTCCAGCCCTGAGGGGAGCCAGGGCCTGGGCCACTGCCACTGGAGCCCAGAGGAGAGGCTAAAAGCTGGGCCCAACACCTCTGACAGCATTGCAGGAGAGGCTGAAGAAGAAGCCAAAGACAGGGTGACAGAGGTGCCACGGCGCTCCTGTCTGTTACGAAACAGCCGTCGCTCCATCTCACCTCTGCGCCGTCACAGCTGGGGCCCTGGCAAAAACTACACTGGAGGCGTGGAGATGAACCGCAGGTGAGTGCACAAATACCTGTTGATCTATCTAATGTGAAGAAACAGTAGCATTAGCTATAGTATGTCAGGGGTTATTTGGCAGATGTCAGCTGCTTTAATGTGTACAGTACTGGAGCATGTTGATGTCACTCCCTGTGTGTGTGTTCATATTTATTCTCCAGTAGTGAACAGCTGTCACCATTTGTTTGGTCTCAGAGGGAGCTGTGCAGCCACAGATGAGCACATACATACATGAGTTCAGCACACATGTCATCTGTTTACACACACGCGCTACTTACCAGTTCTTTATTTGGCCATTTTAACCAGGTTTTTGAGAGGTGAGAGGTTTTTTTATTTGCTACTAGCTTTTGTTTCCAGAGAACGTATAGCACTTGAGAAAGTTAAAGAAGCTAATCATTAGTGATCTGCGGTAAATACAATTGAATACAGTATACAATATTCAGTATCACTTTTTAATGCACTGTCAAATTGCTGAACTATAGACCCTTTATCACATTGCTATGTCATTCATCCCAAAGGCACAGATTCTAATGTATATTAGAGTGCATATCCCACCCACTGGAAAGTTAAAGTCCAGTCATTAACATTAAATAATGATTCATTTCCTTACTCGCAAGTGACCCACTTCCTGTCTCTTTCTCATTCATCATCTGAAATGCTTTGCATAGGTCTGGTCAGCAGAAGACCACATTTTACAGGAGGTGTTCATAATCTGTGTCCATTTCTTTGTGTTGTATAGTGTACAAATAGAGGTGAAATGTCTTGTCAGCTGTTGGGTTAGTAGACAAATCTCTCTACTGTCCTAAAAATAAAGGTTTCCTTTCTGAGTTAACTGTTCAAGTTTATTTTCAGTAAACCTTAGTAATAAATATTATAGTAACCCAAACAGGGCACTGATTAGCAGAATCACACCACTCTAACATAACAGTGATGTTTGTTCTCCTGCCTCTGCCTCACCCTGGGCTCTGCTCCATCTTCACTTGTCACACCCCTGCTCACTGTGTTAGTATGAGAGGCTGCCCTCCCGATGGCCCCTGTGGTGGCACTGTGAAATTAGTTAGTCCCCTCAGGTACAGTGTGTTTGTGTGATTGTGTTTTGCCTTGCTCCAAGCACATGGCCTACTTTCAATAGGGGATATTTACATGCTGCTTGATTTGCATGATTATGTGTGTGCAAATCTCTTGCAATGCAGTCAGTCAGCAGCAAAGAGCTGTGGCAGCTGTTGCTGTTATTCATGTTTCTTTGCTGTGGACCCTCGGGCTAGAATAAAATGTAATAACAGGTAAGGCCCACCTGACAGATATAGCCATCACATTCTTAGCCCTGAGGATGGGTCAGTGATAATCACCACCTCACCGTTCTCTTAGAGGAGCCTGGGTTACTGATGCTGGAATGTATTGGACTGATGATTTGCTGGATAATAGAGTGCCATACAAAGCCAAGGGCTGAAGATAGGAAAGATATACGGCTACAGCTTTAACTATCACCCGTGCTGTCCGGGAGCGGAGGGGCCACAGTCACGTAGCATAGCTCATTCTGAAATGTAGCTGTAGTTTTCCTCTCCATAATCATTGTATTGGATTTTTTAAGGCCTCTTATTCCCAGTCATAGATCGATGTAATTGGGTTTGTAAATCACAAGTGTAGAGCTCTATGCTGATGCTGATGTTGGAAGTCATTTGCTGCTGCTCCAGCTGTAAATCTGCAGCAGAGCCCAGTGATAACTCAGCTGGCTAAACAGTGCACAGGGCCAGCTCTCTGTGTGTGTGTGTGTCTGTGTGTGTGTGTGTGTGTGTGTGTGTGTGTGCATGCCAACAGGTATGTGGTGGAGTGTGGATCTGCTACTACCCTGAAAGAGGTGACAAACAGTGTGAGCTCCCAGCGTCCCTGTGCCATCTCTTAACCACTAGGTCACTGTGTGTTCCGTTTGTTAAACAGCTACAGCCTGGAGGGGCTGAGTGGAGTGCAGGGGGAACTGAGAGGTTCTTCCAGGCAGAGCCCACAGATCCTGGAACCTTCAGGTACCCATAATAATGACAGCGATGAACGAGGATCGCTTATGTCACTGACTGAGGAGCCAGAGGAGAGGGTGCAGCTCCGTAGACTGGACAAAAAGGTAATTTAGGTGCATTAAATCACGTACTAGCACTCTTCTCTTTTATAAACACTCCAGCCTTGTCAACAAGAGGTATTGCATAATCTGAGAACAATTTGTAAACAAAAACATTGGGCTTTGGGCATAACCATTGTATGACCTGATATAACACTATTGTGAAGTGCACTTTCTGTCTGTCACAGTCTGTAATCGAGTGTCTTGAGTGTTTTCAATTGAATGTGTGTCTCTTGACTTCACCTTGTCTCTTGTCTTGCAGAAGTCACAACGGTATCTGCCCATGCGTAACAGCTGTCCTCCCATGACCCTGCCACTCACCAAATCTGTATCAATGCTTGCCATCAGCAACCGAGACATTGATGGTAGGTGTACATTCAAACAAACTCAAATGGTCTAATCTACGTCACGTTGCTCCAATTAATTACACACTACAGAACTAGCAAAAATAACAGTTTTATGATTTTGTTTTTCCTTCAAATCTCCCTTATTTCCCTCACCTCTTTGAAAACAGTAAACTTAGTGTTGTACTGAAAGATTTGTGTTGTTGTCTCCTTGCTGTTGCTGCCAGCAGTGGGGCGCCAGAGACGTAAGAGGCGGATCTCTTTCTCTTTTAGTCTTTCCCCCATCCTCACAAAATCTCAGCTTATTTATATGGAATCTTCATCTAGTGATGATGAACATGGCACCAGTAAGTATTAACTCCATGTAGGAGTTACAACAAGCTGTTAGACCCCACCTTTTCCAGTTTTTGGATATTCATGCCTGATGCTAGACTAGATAACCCCAATCCTTGACCCAGTTTCATATTATTGCATGTCTCCCACCCAGAAGTTCCCTTATAGTAAGTGTATCTATCAATGATCCCTGAGTCTCCAATCTCAATGTGTGTGTTTTTTTTTTACTTTTTTAAAGGACATCTGCTATGCAAAATTGACTTTTTAGCTCCTTAATATAATATTGTTGTCCCCACATTAAATACAGATCTAGAGTTGCAGTTTGCTTCATCTCCGCTTGTTTCATTAATTTCTTAGTCCAAAGTCATCTTCTCTGAGCATTCAGAAATATTGTTCACCTTTTGCCCAGATTGTTACATCAAGGGTAAAAATCCATACTTTTCCTGTATGCATTTGGAATATAAACCCTCACTTGTAATGTGATCAAATTGTGTTCCTAATAAACACATGGCTCTATTAGTGTAATAGTAATATTGCCTAATGGCTTTATTTGTTTATTTTTGCATCGTTTATTCCCATTGCTGACAGCAGAGGGAGCGCCAATGCCTAAATGTGAAATTGGGAACAAAAGTTTATAGTGTGTTTCCTAAATGCAAACATCATAACTTGTGAAACACTAATCCCAAGGTGCAAAACAAAGTATGTTTAAAAGAAACACAAAGCCACAAGAAAGCATAATACTTACTCTTTAACACCACACTTCTTTGTGGTTATAAACAACCATATATATTCTACATTGACTAGCCCTTGAACCTACTCTCACCTTTTTCTTTTATCTTGGGTTTACATAAAATCACAATGAGAAAAGTATTGTAGTGCATGAGAATGGAAATGCTACTATCATCTCAAGAGATAGATGTACTCATAGAATTTCCACTTTTTCCCCTTTCTCTTCCTATCTGTGAGATATTTTTAATAGTTTTCACTGTGTCCTTGACTCTGTTGCTGTTAACAACAACAAGCTCTTAAACGTATTGTGTTGTTCTCAGTTTTGCTGGAATTACCATAAGATGTTTTTTATAACAGTTTGGAACAAATTAATAACATATCAAAGGCTTGATATTAACTTATTTTTGCATAACAGACAGACATAATATGGACATCACATCAAGAATATTTCAATTTTACGTTTACTGTACTTCACATTTAATTGTTAATCAACATTTCAACAAAATGTTGGCATATCTTGGGAATCTGTTTAGCAGAAGCTACTGAATCCCGACTTTGGCGTCTATTTTATCTCTCTCTTCCAAAGTGGTTTCCCAAAAATAATTAAATGCTGTGCTCAAGAAACTAGTAGTTATTTTGTGCCATAAGTCTGTATCATTGCCCACATTTGCTTAATAATCCAATGCTATTTTGTCTGCAGCCATATTGAATATCTGTTTTACATCATCTGTTCATATTTTTCTCCAGGCATGCGGCCGTTTTCGTGCACTGCAGGATCACTAGCCTACAGGTCAGTTCAACATCCTTATTTCTTTTCCTGAAAATAAAATCTCATTGTGCTGTAAATAGTGTCAAATAGAAAGAATGAATGGTGTGTTTTGCAGTATATCTGAGGAGGAGCCTGGCCCTCTCCGCACTGATATGGAAGAAAAGAATTTGACAAAAGTCGGCCGGACCTTCAGCTACCTCAAAAGCAAAATGTACAAAAAGACCAGGGTACGGCATGAACAGTATTTCTTTCTCTTGTTTGTTGTTTTCATCGCCATATTAGATTTTCCATTTCAAACATTGATGTCATACTGGCTTCATATTTAAGTACAATCTCTGGGAACTGCAATGTGTCTTCTTCGGTTTGGCTTCAAATCAGCTCCCCTGAAACAGAAATGGCAGCAAGTGCTACATGTTTCACTCAATGTTCAATGTTCACATTAACTTCCTCCATTCTTTATTCCCAGTTGACTTGGTTTAAATCAAAATCTTCTCTGGTCTGTACAAATCTAGCAATATACACATATGCACTGTCATTTTAAGGATTACATATTAGTTGCTAACTAAGGAGGAATTTGTATACTAGTTAGTTGCTATTCAGTTATGGTAATACTGCTCATTAAGAGTATAGTATATGTATGTAAAACCCACAAATGTAATAATGTAATGTAAATGTTAATGAACACTACTTTAAATATATTGTGCCAGATTTGTACTTAAAGTTGAAAAAAGCAGAACTAGTGAATTTTAAATGGTTTGTAGTGGTCAAAATATTCCTCATTTAATCTTATGCAATCCTAGCATTCTAATTATTCACAGCGATGTTGCCTTTTACTATTAGTTTGCTATGAATACTGTGTGGTCCCTAAACTTAAGTGTTACCTTACAAATAATGCACTATTTAGTTATAACATGTCAAAATATAATTGAAAATACAAATTTTTCAATTTAAATCTGTTACTTTAATTGTCAAAAAGTGTTGCAAAGAGTTTGGCTTCCCCTAAAGAAATACCAGTGGTTGAGCAGGAAGTTGACACAATGATAAAGTTTGTGTCTGTGGTTGTTGTAATCTCTTCTCTGACCTCGGGCACAGCTTTAAGGGACAGAGGCCTGGAGGCTGGAGCGGGGCACCAACTTGGGACTGTCCCTGATATCACAGAGCCATTTGACAAGTTTACTCCATACGCTCATATAGTCACATTGATATTTTCAGCGTTTTATTTAATAGTTCTCAAAGTGTAGTGGCACTATCACTAGAAATATGATGTAGTGGTGCTCGATATTTTTTGTAACATTTCTAACATTCTTACATTCTTGGCAAAGCAATATTTCTATGGATACAAGCTGATGATGGATCCTCTGTCAGTAAAGTTACACACTGCAACTTTAATAAGGAGTCACTGGATTTGTAGTCTTATTGCAATATTGCAGACTAGCTCCAAGTTAATAAGCTGTATTCAGAAGTGAGAACTATACACGGCACAATGTTTCCAAAGAGATACTACTACAGAAAGAGCACCTTTTAATGCTTTTTTAATTGTAAAAAAAAAAAAAGAAAAGAAAGTTAAATAAATGTAAAAAAGGCTATTTAGAACCAGTTTATAAAAGGTTGAAAGATGTTGTAGGTGATTTTCAAGATTACACCATAAAAAATTGTTATAACAGGACAAGTTGCTTAGTTTGTATTCTGCAACTGTATAATTGTCATACTGTACCCCAAGTATGCTACCATTGCGACCATAGTCTTAAAATTGGATTGTTGCAACGTTTTGTCACATTGCCTATGTCCGACTTAAGACATAAATAGCAGAAACAGTTCTTGAAGCAAGCCAGTCACTTCCTCGTTGTAGCTTCCCAGATGGGGCCTGAGCAGCGGTAGTGGCAGCCTCTCGGTCTCTGCTGCCAGGGATGCTATACAGGAGATTCACAGGGAGCCATGGCTTTTCTCTCAGATGGAAGGGTTGGCTGGAGGTAGGTAGAAGAGAATAGTCTGTTCCCAGTCTGCTAAAGGACCCTGTCACAGTATTGGATTCAAAGTGACTGCAGTTCCCTCTTGAGCTGATTTCTTTTTCCAAGGTAGTCAGGGTGTATTAAAGCATGCTTCGGCGGTATGTCTTGTAGATTAACTTTTGATTGTCACACAAGATTAACCTGCCAGTGCTGGGACATGTTAATGCGAATGCCAGAAGTTGGAAGTAAACTACACAAGTGTTCAGAAAAGTGTGTATTTTTATCTTAATCACAAAAGGAAAGTGCAATGTGCTAAAGAGTGTGATTTTAAGGAAAGCATGCAAATTTGATGTCTTTTTGGCCCTGCTCTGACACATTGTTGTTGTAGGAAGTGAAAATGACTGCTTAGTGTTGTAATGTTTCTGTGGTGTAGTCAGCCTGAAGTTATGTTAAGTGACTGAACAAAATAAGCTCTAGTATGTCAGAGCTTTTGTGGCTAGCTCAAACCAAGAGGCTCAAAGTTGGTCATTAAAACTAGACTGGAAACTCCATTTTTCCATTTCATTTGGGTTCGGGTGGAGACGCTGTGATGTCAAAGAGAATACAAAGGCTCTGTTCTTTTCAGCATTACTTTATGGGATTGTGAGTAAGGACAGACTATAGATATGGCCAACATCTGAAGATCTTTGTCAGTTTTTGGCGATGCTACAGAAGGACAGCCTTGATGAAAAGGTTAAAATTGTATTTCCAGACTTCGAGTCTCCAATAGAAAAATAGATTATATAGATCTTTCTCTGCTTAATTAGGCCTGGTTAGAAAAAACAATGACTCCAACTGATGTAAAAAATGAATGAATGTTAAAAAAAAAAAAAAAAAAAAAAAAACAATAACTGCTTATGGCCTATTACTGTGCCCGCAATTGTATTCGTTTTGACTTTATACTGCACCCATTACCTCAACTTTTTATGTATTTAGCAGGCTATGTATGACATCAAAAGACAAAGCAGTAAATACTGTCGCAAAATAAGCATCTGAAATGGTCTTTTAATGAGCCAATTTGTTGTCAGCATAAATAATGCATCACTTAATATGCACACCCCATGCTGTGTGGCAGATCAGTGTAATAATGCTGCTCTGCTGGATTCAAATTGGGACTTAGAATATCTTTGGTCTCCAAAGTTTCTAGCCACCCATGCAGAACATATTAAAACATTTATTCTACAGTGTATATTGTGTATTGTGTAAATAATGGCTGTAATTTGTCCTTTATTATATTTTGGTTGTGCAGGAAAAGGAGCGGGAGAAGAAGGAGAAGGAAGGCAAGGAAAAGGACAAGAAGTCCACAAACGGTCATGTGTTCAGCTCTGTGTGCTTGTCCCAGTCCAGCCAGTGCTCCCAGTGCAATAAGACGTTTACCAGTAAAGAGGCTTACCTCTGTGCTTGTAAGTTGTTGGGTCTCATCCTTATTTGACATTGTGCATTTTCTTTGTTTTGTGTATTATATAATTGTGTGACCTACTGGAGTGATCTCCTGTGGCTAAATACTAACTAAAGCCCATTATGTGCTGGGATTCTTTCATAAAAAGGAAATTAATCTTAATTTGGAACACATAAACTCCACAAGAGCCATTTGATTCTTATATGAATGTGTGCATAGTCACCGCATCATTATCTTACAATACATAACAATGTGGATTTAATAGAGATCTTACAATATACAATTTTGTCTAACCAAGGGTCATTAGAAATAAAACATGTTTATAGTTTTATTTAACAATAAATATACTGAACTGTAAAATTCCCAAATACAAAGGTATTTAAATGACTCAAATGTTGCTTAAAAGTATACAATAAACATAGTGTACCAGACCTAAGTGATGTGACGTGTATTTGAGTGTGGTTCTGTTGTAAGCAGAATGATTTAATGCTACATCTTGAGGTGAGAAGTAGTGTAGCCGACTAAAGGGTCACCTCTGTCTGCTCCTCTCAGACTTTTGAACAAATTCACATTGTTTTCCACTGAAGTAGCAGCCGTACCCATAAAGAGGATGTAGTTTATTGCACAAGCATTTGGCGCAACACCAAAAACAGCCTCAAAAGGAGAAACCCGCTCTGTAATGGATCTCAGTTGTTCTGCAGCTATAACAATCTGCCAATGTCTGGTCAATCGGAAGAATAGCTCTACCTGCTTTGCATGGTGAACACCGTCTGACATTCACTTTGCAGATATATTTTATTCATAACCTGTCTAAAGTTGAACTAAATAAATACCCTATACATATTACTTTGTGATTATGTTCATACCATATAGCCTATTTAAATGTGCATGGTGCATATTGTATTAAGCCTTTTCTATCTTCTTGGAGACCAAACCAGACCAAGTTATAGGTCAGATCTGTGGAGAGGCAAATCACAGTCAGAATGCCTGGTTCCTAGGTATTTTTGAACTAAAAAATTCCCCAACTAAAAAGTTACATGTAGGCCTACGCAAGCTAATCTTAAACTTTGAACACAAAATTTAGTACAATAAACACTTGAGGACAGTTTTCATGCAGGGAATTGAGTGAATTTCGTTATGGAGATCCTCTATGATAACTTATACTCCCCCAAGAGCCATGGGGATGTTTGTTTGATTGAAACTTTCCCATGCACTCGAGTGTTTATGTCACCCTCTGGCCTGTGTGTCCAGCAACAGTGTTACTCCTCGATTGCATCACATACCATGCCTGGGTCTGGCTTTCATTAGCGGGCTGGTGGAGCTTCCTGACTGGCAAAGAAAACTAGCCAGAGTTTTGAGTCAGACCTAACACCCCCACGGCAATCTCCAAAAACTCACTCACTCTTTCTCTTGCTTTTCTTTCCAGACTGTAATGCTTCCGTCCACAAAGGCTGCCGAGACAGCCTCCCAGTCTGTTCCAAGGTGAAAATGAAGGTATCGCTCACAGTTATCATAACCAACCATTGTAATTATTTTATTTATTTATATATTTTTTATCTGTTCACTTGTACATCTGTGTTTGTTTTTCCTGCTTAGTTACCCAAACAGCAGTTAACATTACCAGACTCAAGCTCATTTCCTACAGTCACCATGAGAAACAAAAGTAAGTACCATGGCAGTATTGTAATTCATTTGAAATCTAATAGTAGATACTTTGAAGATAGATACTTTTTATTTTTTAATGATACCCTAATGAAATATGTAAATTACACATTCTGTTAAAGGTAGTTTAGTAGATTTAAAAAAAAAAAAGATATTTTATTTATTGTGTTTCTGGTCTAGCTGGTGCTACAAGGGAACGTCCGTGGTCAGCCATCTTGTCACCTGAAGACCATTCCTCCCTGATGATCCCATCTCGGAGACAAACAGCCCTTATGTTTCATGGAAACAACCTCTCTAAAAGTCTTTCCATAAGCAATATTGCTGGGTAAGTCTTGTGTTGGCCTTCATATACAAGTAAGTCTTCAGGGGTATTTTATATTGTCACTTATCTCTTTCTGTACAGTCCTGTGTTTGATGAAATGCCTATACGGACCCTGCGCTACCTCTCTCAGTCCACTGACTCTCTGAACAGAACCAACCAAGTCACAGAGTCCATGGAGTCGCTCACAGATGAAGGTCAGCTCTCCAACACACTTCACATAATGAAAAGAAAATCTACTTTGATTAATTTGAGTCTGATTTTGAAACTAAGCTTGAACTGCCTCTCTATCCCCTCTGCTGTGATGTAATGTTACGTACAGGCACAGAGATGATGGATGGGCAGCTGATGGGCGAGTTTGAGGCTGATGCCAAAGAGCTGGAGGCTGACTCATGGAGTTTAGGAGTGGACCAGCACTTTCTACAACAACTTGGCAAAGATCTGGTCAAACGACAAGACATTATTTATGGTACATACATAGGGCAGTCTAGAATTTATCCTATGAGTTAAACAATTTTAAGACTTTTGTTTGTTTTGACTTACATACTTACATTTTACCATTTGCAATTTTCATTTTGTGCCTCAGCTTCTCTAACTTTTATGCTGTAACTCTCAACTAATTCTGTGTTCAAACGTTGCTTTTTCGACTTGCAGAGCTGATGCAGACAGAAATGCACCACATTCGCACACTGCGCATTCTGTCCGAAGTGTACAGTAAAGGCCTGCAGAAGGAGGTCCAGCTGGAGGCTCACACACTGGACAGACTGTTCCCTGCTCTAGATGAACTATTGGACTTACACACACAATACCTGCTACGGCTACTGGAGAGGAAGAGGGGCTGTCAGCAGGAGGGAGGGTCTACAGACGGAGCAGTCATTATCCACAGTATAGGAGACATCGTACTTAGTCAGGTATGCAAATCACTCCTAAGTCTGTTTTCGTCTGGGTTTGATTTAGATTTAAACTCATATTTAGGTGTGTAAAATGCCCTGTTTATGATTTTGATCCATGATTCTGAAGCATGATTAGGCCTGTTGATACTGACTGATATTGACTTATCATCCGTTAAATTTTAGATACAACTGTCTTTTCTTTGTTCTGGTGGAGGACTTCTTGTCATTTTTGTACCACAATAAGTCTGGGGTAGTAACAGGCAATTAAAATTTTTGCTACTTGCTAAATGTGTCTTATCCAACAAAATTACTTTTAAAATGGAACTTAAGGTTAAGGTGCAGTTTATTGTCCTCGTAGAGATATTTGTGCTCTGCTTTTAAACCCATTCCTTAATGTCATGGGGCTATATGCCAAACACAGTAACTTAGTATGCAAATGCCATTTTTTCACTGATACATTTCTGGACCTCTTTTCTATAGTATTATTTGTGCAATGAATTATTATAATGCAGCTGCTGAATGTAAAATTTTATTTGACAATTATTTTGTTCCAAGTTGAACATTTTCCTCTGACACTTGGCCTCTGGTGTGTATGCACATGGTTTTCTAAATGGTGTGTATTTGAAAGTGTGTGAATGAGACATAATAATAATCGTTACCTGCATTGTTTGTAAATGTACAATATGTCCCGGTTTAGTTCTCAGGGCCCAATGGTGAGAGCATGAAAAGGGTCTATGGAAAATTTTGCAGCTGTCACAACGAAGCCGTCAATTTCTACAAAGATCTTCTGACAAAAGACAAACGTTTCAAGACCTTTATCAAAGTAAGAACAAATAATTTACAGTCTTCATTTTTTTCTTATTCAATATAAATTCATATTAGTGTTAAATTACTGTATACAGATATTATGGGTATGGAGGCAAACGTATAACACAATATTGAATTTGTTGACACAATAAAGTAGTTTTAAGTTTAAATGAACTCTGTTGTTCTTACTGTTGTTGTGCTGTAACTACTCATTATTTCTTCCAGAAAAAGATGAGTAGCAGCATAGTGCGGAGGCTTGGTATCCCAGAATGCATCTTGCTAGTGACCCAGAGGATAACAAAGTACCCCGTTCTCGTCCAGAGGTTGTTGCAGCACACTAAAGGTGAGCAGTGCATTGGAGTGTTCCAGCTGGCTTTGTATTTATATCATATAGAGACACTCAAGTTTCAAAAAGTGAATCTCAAACAACAACTTACTACATTTCCAACATTTTCTGTGTAATTGCCATTGTAATAAATGTTCCACAGTGGGCCTGAATGTGTCCTACATTTCTAACAATCAATTCCTCTACATCGTGAAGTTTGTTTTGTAATGAAAAACAACATCCATTTCTTATTAGTTAACTTCTTTCACAGTGGGTGGATTAATTACACTCCCAGCCCAGAGAAAGAAATAAGACAAAATGAGAACAGTATAAATGATTAAAACTTAAAGATATCTGCCCCAAAAATCCCTCCTGATGCGTAACCACATTTATTATATACTTCTGTAGATGTATTTCAGTAAATAACTGAAAAATTCAATACACTGTTGTGTGTGTTTACTTGTGGAGAGGGATATATTGGATTAATGGATTGCTGCTTGTTACGTAATAAATCAAATGTACCTGGAAAAGCTGATTTTTCACAGAGTTTTATATCTGATTTGAAGCACTTCTTGTCATCTCAAGTGCGGTCTCTCTAATCCCTCCCCAAAGCCTGTTTACAGTAGTTGTATGTGGGACTGGGGAGCTCTAGACTTAATCTCAAAGGTGTTTTAAGAAGACACTCGCCTGCCAACTCAAGAAGAAATAACCGGGCACAATCACTGCAAAAAATAATGTTCTAGTGGTTAGGAACACGGTGGCACAACAGCTATGGGAGTAAGATTAGTCTATGGGGAAGAATATATGCATACTCCATCTGGCCATAATATAGAATGCATTTCCTGGGCCAAAAGATAACTACAGAAAGAAACCGTCTTAAACTTTTGTTCTGGTTAAACAAGCAGCAGAGAACAGATGATAAATTGCTTGCATTCAGTATGTGAATGGGAAAACACCATTACATTAAGTCTTCTTTTTAACAGTGGCGTCTAGCTGCTCATTTGGGATCTAACAAGGGAGGGATTATCAAAGCACTCAAAACTATTTTAACATCATCTGATTATTTGCAAGTATTTTGGTTTTGTGTTGATCTGTCGTAGAAAGCTGTCTGATTTTATGGCAGCATGTGTGTAATTAAAGCTTTTAAAAATACTCTTAGGGGGTGGTCTCTACAAAATGGAAATGCAGGCAAATTAAAACCACATTGGAATCTCTTTGCACCACCTGCTCTGCATAAACACCTCTCTAACTGTGCTACTCTGAAATGCTTAAATGTGGTTGCTTAATCTGAAGCCATATTTGATTCTTCCTAAAAGAATTTAAACAACTTGGAACATTGAGGAAATGTCAGAGATGGAAAATGAATCAAGAAACCTTTTGTACAGTTTGATTTTGATGACAGAAACATAAGTCAAAGCTCTGAAGGTGAACAAAAATATCATGGTGCCATTAATAAAAACAAGAAAGAATGTGTTATCCAAATATATTATAATATTGTTAAAATACCTTTAAGGTGCATAGTTTTTCATTAACATTTTAACATTTTACGTTATTAAAATGAAATGTTCTATTGACCGAATATGTCTCTTTCATCAATTTCAAATATTGCCAATATGTAACACACAATTTTAAAAACAGTGTAAATACAAATACAATATTATTAATACAATATTATTATTTTTATATGTTTTGTCAGAGGGCAGTGAGGACTTTGAAGATCTGACTGAAGCTCTTCGGTTGGTGAAAGAGGTGATTGCCGCTGTGGATGAAAAGGTGAACGAGCACGAAAAGAGGCAGCGGCTCAAAGACTTCCACAGCCGCATGGACACAAAGTCCATCATGATGATGAAGAGCGGGCAGATCTTTGCTAGAGAGGATCTCCTGAGGAGGAGGCTGATTCACGATGGACCACTACAGCTCAAAAACAGTCAGGGGAGACTGAAAGGTTAGTACACTACTGTACTTAAGCAAACCTCAGCTGTAAATATTTTATTACAATTTGTGTTCTTTTTTCCCCCAGAAGTCCATGCCTTACTTTTATCTGATGTCTTCGTCTTCCTACACGAAAAGGACCAGAAATATGTTTTTGCCATGCTGGTATAGCACTTCTCTCCTCTTATAGCAAATGCTGTCTTTCATTTCCCCTTCACTCCCTGCCCTCTCTATTCTAAGAGATACATTTGAAGTAATGCCAGTAGTGATGGTGTCATGTTTTCCTATCCCACTGATTGTGCTGTTAGCATTAGCACACTTGGTGCTACCTGCACCCAATAAAGCTGCTCTGGCCTTGAGCATATCCTGTTGATGTGATTTATAATAAGTTTTTCATTTTCTTTGCATGCAATGTTTCCATAAGTGAAATACAAACTGATTCATACAGTTAGCTTTTACTAAACTAGATTTCAGATAATTTTTCAACATTGGTTGTTCAAATATTATACTTTAATACCATCACTTTGTTAACATTCAGTTTACAGAACAGTTCACAGTTACTATTTCTAGTCTAATCTAGTGCTGTTTTTGAGAAACCTCTATTCACATTGTTTCAATTTGAAGCCCTCTTTGACAAGTTCATATGCTACATAATCTTAACACTAATTTGAGAAAAGAAAAACAAACACACAGATATCCTATTCCTTGCTTTGCTTTTCCAAGTGTGAGCAATCTGCCCTTCTTGTATTCACTCCTCCCCTGTCTCCCTTGGCCCTCCTCCTATCATCTGGTTTTCTTTTTCTTTTTTTTTTTCATTGTCCCCACTGTATCCTGCCTGTCGCCTGTAACAAAGTCTCCCTCTGTAGGATCAGCGCTCCACAGTCATCTCCCTCCAGAAGCTGATTGTCAGGGAGGTGGCCAACGAAGAGCGCGGCCTCTTCCTCATCACAGCAGGCATCGAGAAGCCAGAGATGATGGAGGTGCTGGCCAGCTCCAAAGATGAACGCAACAGCTGGATGCAGAAGATACAGGAGGCTATGCAGTCCATGTAAGTAACAACTTTATATAAATTAATTGTATGGTGAATAGTTTGTTGGTCTGTCAGGCTGTACAATAATCAAACCTAAAGAAAGAGAGCAGGAGAGAGAGTTTATTTTTAGGAAATTCGTATTGAAAGACTTTTTTTTTTTGTTTATTATAATACATATATTTTGAATTTAAAAACCGCGATTCATCATATGAGAAAAAAAACTGTATTTGTCATATCACCTAGCCTAGTTTTGGATATATCCTGTGTTCTGTTGTTGATTAAGTATTGCCTTCTTCTTATGGTGTCCTACGTCAAATATTATTTCTTGACCAGTTTATCCTATACTCTTGATAGATCAACTCTTTCCTATACTCTTGATAGATCAACTCTTTCCAGATTCGTAATTGTATCTAGGTTAGTTAGCTGGGTTGTAACCCAGGAGTTTGGCCCTTTCCTGGTTTGTAGATCGTAATATACGGTAAGCTGTGACTGAGCACTGTGCTGTCAGGAGGATTAGCACTTCTGTACCTGGGGATAGGATGTACTCAGGGACAGTCTGATGCTGGATTGGCTTCAAGGGCAGCGCTCTATAAGCAGGGGATTATTCCTCTGCAGCCAGCGGGGAGGAGACAGATTTAGGGGTGCACCTCGTGTTTGTCTCTGACTTCTGACAAAACAAAATTGAGATCAAGCTATGGGCAGGCTGGAGGAAGGCGTAAACAAAACAGAAGTCTGCTACCTCTCTGTCTGTCCTTGCATAAACTTTGTTTATATGTTCACCTTTAAACATAAGTCTTGGGTTCTTAAAGCAATGCATTCAGTAAAATGTTACATGGCTCTGTAAAAAGTCTGTTTTTCATCCAGGGACAAAGATGAAGATGAAGGAATTCCTAGTGAGACAGAAGATGACAAGAGACAATTGGAAACCAAAGCTCGTGAGATGAGAGGTCTGAAACCATCCACCTTGTTTTTTGATGTAAAAATGTTGTTTTTATTCACTGATGTTCCATATAACTGTTCTTCTCAGATCTGCTGAGGCAGAAGGACACAGAGATCTTGTCTCTGCTGGAGCAGAAGGTGCGCCTCTTCAGGGGCATGTGGGAGGGTCTGAGCTCTGCAGAAGAGAGCAGTCGGCAGGTGGGGCCTTTCTTCAGGTCAGACAGCAGCCAGGAGCCACCCCGGGGGACAGCCATCATGAAGGATGCACTTCAGGAAGGTAAATTTATCTAGCCCCCAAGCCCTTTTGTCTTTTGTATACTGACAAAATATATTGCTACCCCGACACCACACGTTTTAACACTAGAAATAATTTTTGTAATTTTTTCCTGATTATATTTGACAAAAACAAGTTGTAGACATAGTGTGCATTGCAGTTTCCACTGCAGCATCCACAGCCTGCAGCAGTAATTGTTCTTACTTTATGGGAATTGGCAGAAGTAATTCTATTTCTTATTGACTTCAGATTCACCTGACTGGCCAGCTTTTGTTTTAATCAAAATGTCATCATGGTCTCTTTTGCCTACAACATGTGCATATTTACATTACTGAGTTTTTAAAACATTTAGTAAAATAAAGTCTTTTCACTGGTTGCTTGGCAACAGGATCCCATGGAAGACTGAAGGCAGAGGTGCCTGGGAGGATTCATGAGCGCTGGACTGAGCTGTAACACAGTTAGCCTGTTTAATTCATTTAGTGACCTGTGCATGTGTGTGTGGCAGTGGAGACATTACAGACTCTGGTGAACGGCAGTCTGGGAGGGGCCATGGCCAGTATCCAGGAGGGAGGAGGAGTGGGGCCAGTGTGCTTGCCCCGCCGTGCCGAGACCTTTGGAGGCTTTGACAGTCATCAGATGCTCAGCAGTAAGAGTGAGTTCTCTGCATTCTTGTATTCATTGCGAAGTTACATTTTGGTTCTGCTTTCCTGTGCTTAAATCTCCCACGCAAAAAAAAAAAAAAAAAAAACAACAACGGAAGAGCACCAACTCCACTGGATAAATCAAACGTGCACTTTATAGTTCTGTATAGTATTACAGTATTATAGTATTGTCTGTTTAGCATTTACAACAAGAGAAGAGCTGATGCTTCCTGGGGGAACTAGGCTTTGGGCATCATGTCTGAACTAGTTTCCTATTAGAACAGTGTCATGACAGCTGCCAATCATTGTTCTACCCAGTATTCAGCATATAGGAACATATGTAACACAACATTGTGCATTAAAACTGCATAACTTTACTGTAAAAAATATAGTATTGTGAATCAATACCCCAATTTTGTTTTATTCTTTAATGTCCAGAATTCAGTTGAACAAATAAAATTATAAACTTTTTTTTTCTTGTTTATCACTATCAGGTGGAGACAAAGATGAAAACCTGGAGACAGCAGGAGATCTTCGCAGGACGGAATCTGACAGTGTTCTCAAGAAGGTTAGTATTTATGCTGGCAATTATTACTCATCCTAAACTACCTCATCCTCATACCCATCTGGCAAAGTGACAAAGCGGTTCACCTCAAAGCTCCTGCATTGATTTCTAGTGATAGCCATTGTGCATTCAGGGGATTTTTGTGTGAAACTGCCTGGGTGGGTTCCGCTGGGTGCTCCAATTTCCCTGATCACATTCACAAAGGGTCATTCTTCAACTTAGTGCTCCACACCCAAATCCTGGCTAAAGATCTGGAGAATGGTCCCTCAAGCAATGCCATACTGTTCCTGCATCAATGAAGCATGATTCAAAGCCAGAACGTTAAAAAATAAAAATAAAAACAGACCTAGAGGGAGGCTGGGTCATTTGTTCTCAAACGTTGACAATAGAATGAATTTAGCTGCTTCTCTGCCTCTAGTGAATTAGCCTCTTGACACTTCCTGCCAGGCCCTGTCGCTAATAGCAACCATCAGTAGTAAAATTCAATAGAAAAATGGCTTCCCTGTAGTTGCACCCGCTATAGTCCTCCTGAATTGGAATTTAGCTCTTCTATTATCACTTTTGAAAATATATAGGAAGAATGCAGCTAACATAGGGAAATAAGCCACAACCAAAAGGGCTAATAACTCAGAGATTAAATAACTCAGAGATTAAATAATGTTTTAGTGTGTTAAATTTAATTGAGGTTATGTTATTTTTTATCATACGAAACAATAAAGCATGTAAAGTTTAGAATGCATTTAGTCTAAAAGTCATAGGTTAAGGTTCCTGTATGAGAAAAATATAATGCTTTAATATTCCTCTTGCTCTAAGCCGTGTTTATTATTATTGATATAACAATTCTATGGCAGCATTGGGAATATTATATAAATACAATACAATTTACCATACAGTATAATTACATTTTTTGCAAACACAGATACACGATGCATTAATGTCTATCTATGTGTTTGTGTGCAGGGAGGAAATGCTAACCTTCTGCTCATGCTGAAAAGGAACAGTGAGGTAATTCTGATATGTCTTTGTCTTCAATATACTGTCTTGTGGGCTCGTTTCCAGATCTTAATATCCACCTTAATCTAACATTTGTGGTTACTGAACAACATACCGATCTGTTAAAAATAACTTATATTTGAGAAAAACATTGTTATTTTCAGTGCTGGTGTTTTCTTTAATAGCAGTTCTACAAAATTATTGTCAAAAGTAAACAGTCTACTTCAAATATGCTCACTGTCTTCTTCTTTTTGACAGCAGGTTCTCCGTAGTGTCTCCAATCTACATCTCCTGCTTAGCTCCCTACAGGTATAAACAGTAGCTTACAAGACGTTATATTTAAAGGTCGACTCTATTTTGTAAATTGAACATACTGTGTGAAGGTAAATGTATAAATATAAATGTGTGTGACAGGCAGTGGTGGTGCAACAGGACAGTTTCATAGAGGACCAGCGGCAGGCCCTGAGTGAGCGCTCGTCCTCCTCTCTGTCTCTGTCTCGGCCCTCCTCCAGACCCAGCTCTCTGATCGAGCAGGAGAAGCAGCGTAGCCTGGAGAAGCAGAGACAGGAGCTGGCTTCCCTGCAGAGACAACAGGCTGCTCACGCAGACGAGAAGAGGAGGAAGGAGAGGGAATGGGAGCAGAGGGAGCAGCATCTCTCTGACAGGGAGGCCCTCATGCATGTACAGGTAAACAAGCTGACCATCAATAATAAACATAATGTATAAACGATGAGGTACTAGGCTGTGATCACTGGGCATTGAAATAACTAGATTTTATATGGACTGATTCTTGAAGGAGGAGGAGATCCTACAGCAGCACAATAAGCTGGAGCAGGAGAAGCAGGAGCTGCAGAACAGAAAAGAGGAGTACCAGAGGGACCTGGAGAGACTGCGAGATGCCCAAAGGAAACTAGAGAGAGACAGGGAGGCAGTGCAGAGACAGCTCCACAGGATGGACGAGCTGCGCCTCGCGGAGGTTAGCACAAGCACTACACAGAGCACTACAGCTGTGGTCCTGTTTACATGTGCTCTGTTGGTGCTTCAGTCACAGAGCTCTTAAAGTCAAGAATAAAAAGCAGAAATTTCAACTTGTAAACTGTGCTTCTGTAGCTTCAGGAGGTGTTCTCACTTGTACACACGGCACATCAAAACTGAAAAAAAACTGATACTAATACCTGAGCTAGATCAGAACTAAACTGGGCTGGACACAATCAGGACAAGTTTGAATGCATCTTTAGAGGAAGGGTCCCAGTCCCTTTTGACTCTTATTCAGAAATTAACTCACACGTTAATTTATACAGAGCAGATGTAGCTAGCATCTGTGTAATTCCACTGTGTCATTCCAGAGAACTCCCTCTACAACTTCAGATGAATCGCAGCTCCTTGGCAGCTCTCAGTCTTTGGAGCTGGACCCCCTGGATTTCAGCTCTGTGCCTCGCCAGCAGCCTCAGAGGCAGAGCAAGTCTAAGGGGAAAGGACTCAACCCGTTCACCTCCTCTTCAAACTCAAGTTGTAAAAACAGTGACGCTAACAACCAGCTTTCCAGAAGTCTGCTGCAGCTGACCAAGAACAAGGGCAAAGAAGGCAAGGACAAGGACAAGAAGAAGAAGAAGAGCAAGGGGACTCCATCAGCAGGTGATCTTTACTGTTACCAAGGAATCGAAACGGCTTCTCATTTTGATTCCAGAATAATTCAACAAACAATTTAACAAATATGATTGTATTAACAGTTTATATAATGCTTTGATGCAGTTTTTACATCATTAAACAACTTAATGAGTTAAGATAAAACCAACCACTTAAGTTAGTCCACTGTTTAATGAATATCAAGTGTGATGGTGTAAATATGTCATGTCATATGTGTCACGTAGAACTGTTTCTTTTTTACAGACGGTCAGCACCTGCAAGAGGGGCCTCTGGATGGAGAGATTTTCTTTTGCTAAAGACCTTAAAGCTAGAGCATATGAGCGCCTTCAGGTGGACAGGTGGAATGAGAAACATTTACGACATTAGGAGTGAAATTGCAGCACAATGCAATGCAAAGAACAAACTATACTTTATTGTATTCTATGAGAATATTGTTTATCCAAAATAACCATCTTTGGTCCTCTCCTCCACCCCCCTGTCTCTATTTTAGTCAGTGGAAGTTTATTTTCAATGATTTTTCAGGATGCAGAATGGTCAAAATTTCTCCATAGTGACTACATGAAATCCTGCCCACCATGTGATATCAATATAAATGCACTTTGATGTTTGGTAAAACCTTACTTACAATCGTTAGGTATTTGTTTACGAATTAAGTCATTCACCTTTAAAAACCTCCTCATTTTTCAAAGATTAAGTTACAAGGCTATGACTGAAACCCCAGATAAATCCTGTGCTTTGCAAATCTGTTTTATCTGTTTTTATTACATTTTTTATCCTATTACTCCTTTGCTTTCAGAAAATCGGCTTTTGTCATCTAATTGAATCTGATTTGTAAGCTGAATAGAAGCGTTCCATTTAGAAACCTTTCCTAACAACTTTAAATCATCACTCATGCTTCTTGACGAGTATTTAATGTTTGAATTATGGATATATCATAGTGGACTGAAGCTCTACAGATGTGCATGTCTATTTTTCAGACTCAACAGCAATGAAAGGACTGAGACATATCTCTGGGTGTCTAATGGCTCCATTCAGATCCTTGAGCGTGTTGTGGAGCCTTGGATGAGTATTAGCCTGATCCGCACTTTATCTGCCTGTCAGAGGGCTTTTATGTGGCCGTCATCTTTCATCTGAGTCGGGGCTTTGCTTCAGTTTTTAATTGCATGTAACGCCGCAGGTCGCATACTAATGCTGTCTCAGTCTTTTAAAAGTTCAACTGTTGTTTGCAACCTCCATCTTTGATTTGTGGTAATAGAGTCTGTACATGCACAGTGAACATTTCATCAAACAGTGTTAATTAAAGATAAAACCAAAGTTAGAGGAGATGAAACGGTATATTAACTGTTAATATGAAATGCCCCTGTTAAGATCTGCTCTGTAGGTGCAACTGAATTCACACTGTAAAGCAGTCAGTGTTGCTGAACACTTTGGCCCTTTTAATTTAAATTTTAATTGGAATAGAATGTAATGTATAAATGTGGTTATGGTTGAAAATTTTCATTCTTTTCGTTTAGCAACATTTAAGAATAACTTGCATGTTGCAAGTTTTTAACATAAACAAATGTATTGATCTTACTGGGAGAAGTCTGAATGTCTTATGTATATGTATTATCCAGCTCCACTTTACTGGATGTACCCCCACCGTACAAATGATTACTTATACATTTACCATAAACCTTGTAGGAGTGGAACATGAATTAAGATGGGTTTAGACCGTCGTGAGACAGGTTATTTTTACCCTACTGATGATGTGTTGTTCCAATTGTAATTCTAGAGTATTACCAATATTCCAAAATTCACAATATACTCCGAAATATACATACAATATACAAAACACTTGAATGGTGAAGAGTATGACTAAAATGTACAAGTTACGTTTGAAGCCACTTTCCGCCTGCTGGTCGGGCGGCATACACAAAGCAGGCTCAGTATCACAGAGGCAACAGTGGACTACAGAGCAGCCTGACACTAAACCTCTTCTCTGTTCTTTTTGTAAGTGCAGTTTGTTAACTTGCTGTCTTTGTGAAGAATTGTTCTTCTGGTCTTGGCTGGTTTATTACAGTGGTGTCTTCTAAGAGGCTTACAAGGCCAGCCAATTAGTTGCTCCATGTCTTCTGTTTATGGGTATTGCTGTAATCCTGTCAAAGAAACAAGTCAAATTCATTTTCTAAAACAATGTCTCCTTGTGGCCAATATGTGGCACTGCATCTACTAAAACTCAACTTCCCTAAAAGTCTGAAACAATTTAATTTGTTCTTTTTAAATATGTAATTCCCGCTGTGAGAAATTGTCATATTTTTCTCAGCAGGTCATTGCCGCTTTGCAGATAATGTGATGAGCGTGGGCCCTGTGCTCTGTGACATTTCTCCCACACTGCATTTGTAATTGACTGTGTGAAACAAATAAGTTGTCACAGTTGTAATTGGTTATTCAGTTGAAATCAGTCCAATATGTAAGGGCTCTGGGGGATGTCTATGTACGCGACAATCACCAATAGAATGGACTCCCTCCCCCACCATGATAGCTCTGTCTGTGAGATGAGTGTGTCCATCTCCTCATAGCCTTAAATCAGGACCATAAAATGCACTAAAGCAGAACCCATCTTCTCCAAGGAGGGAAGACATTAGATTTTTTTTTTTTTTTACCGCTGCGAAGAAAAGACGGAAATGTTTTTGTACCATAGAAAGAGGTACATAAAACATTCCAAATCATCCTGTAAAAAGGGCAATGTGTATATACGATTCATGTACAAATCATATGTAAAAATGAATTGTTTTGTCAGTGATTTATTTTGTAAGAATGCTTTATTTATGTTTTATCGTCAGCGTGACGGACAATGTAAAAATGATGCATATTTCTCATAATAAAACATGTCACAATTGATTATCCTATTGACTGCAGAGTTTTGTTTGAGGTAGTTTTGTTTTAAAGCTACAGTATGTGACTTTCTGGAAGTTGGACATCACCTAGATGATTCCATAGAAAGATTCTCCATGGAGAGATGTTTTAGATATGTTTTAATCATAAATTGTATAAAGAAGCGGAGTGTGATTATAGCGTTAACTCTAGTCAAATGAAGCTCACGTGGCTAGCAGTTGTAGGTCTGAATTTGGAGCCAAATTCCATAGTAGGATTAGGAATTCCTTAATGGACAAAACACCAGGGTCAAGTAGAGCAGATTATATTGTGGGCGGCAGTAGCTCAGTTAGTAGAGCATTCGCCCACTGATCTGAAGGTTGGCGGTTCAAATCCAGCTCTTGACATAAACATCACAGGTTGAGCGGTCAGATCCTCTGACCCACAGGTTGGCTGGTGTGATTCCAGCTCCCACAGATGAATGCTGCTGTGGTGTCCTTGGGCAAGACACTTAACCCACCTTGCCCACAGTGTCTGTGTACACTGGTGTGTGAATGGGTGAGTGGTTCCTTGTTGTAAAGCGCTTTGAGTGCCTTGAAGGTGGAAAAGCGCTATAGAAAAATGTGCCCAAAATGATGAAGCTCAGATAGAGTTTGTGGTTTATAATATATATATATATATATAAATTACATATATATATATATAATAATTTAAAAAATGACCATAACATATTAATGTTTAATATATATATATATATATATATATATATATATATATATATATATATATATACTGTGAAAAAATTAAACATTAATATATTATGGTCATTTTTTTTTTTTTTTTTTTTTATTATTATTATTTATTTATTTATTTATTTCAGTTTAAAGTACAAGACAGAATGAACTTCTACACCTAAGGATAATCTCAAGTAGCTTTTTAGTAGAACTTCAAATGGCAAAAAAAAGTAAGATCTTTAATTCTTCAAACTGTCAACAATAATATGGCAGCTAATTAGCAAAAAGGGCTTGAGAGATTATAATGAAAGCAGGCTCTTCAGTATCAGGTGTTGCTGTATTAGATGCTCATCGGCTCTCAAGTGACACTTGGGGAAAAAAAAAAAAAAGTAGGAAAGAAGAAAAAACAAAGCTGAATGAAGCAAAGAAAACTAAGGCAAACAGAATACATTTTGACCAATGTGTTAAGAGTGTTATCCTTTATGTCAGCGTGAGTATACAGAAGATTCCCTCAGCCTTTTAATATTTTTCTTTTTTTCCCCTCCTCAATTTAGTTTTGTTTATTATTATGCAATTTTCCAGATTTCACTAAAAAGTATGTTGGCAGAAACATCTCAAAAGTCAGATTAATTTTGTGGCCTACTACATGCTGCCTATAGGAGTTGCCTTACTGATAATTAAACAATTTAGCATCTCTAACTGGATTATGCTAATACTTCCTGTTGCTGTCAGTCATGTAGCAGCAGTGGAGCAGCACTGGCACAGGGAAATGTGACAAGGATCAAGACAGACTAGTAGTTCCCACAGAGCACTGGAAATACAAGCTCTGTTATCTGTATAACTTTGCAATTACAAATTTTAGTGTTAGAATTGTTGTGCAAAGAAACGTTGCAATTTAATGGCTAAACAACTTTCTTAGGTCATGTTGTCTCATATACATTATATATTACAACATTACCATCAAGTAACTGAGTAATCTTAACATCTCTATTGCAACACTTACTCCTGCTTTGCTCCACTGCACCATCCTTTAGATCAGGCTAGATCCATCACTTGTTTGTCTGCAGACACAAAGCTCAAAACTGTTTCATACATATTTTTTTTTCCTTAGGTCAGTGTTTTTTTTTTAACTATGGTGGGTTTGCAAGCTTCGTCTGGTAGTACACAAGCTCCTCTGCACGTCTATTTGGTTAATTTTGATCATGTTTTTCTCCTTTGGGCTATAATCCTTGTTTTGAACTACTTAAAGGAACAGTGTAAAGCCTGCCCTCTTTTTAAAAACACACAGTCACAATTGAACTTGAGTTACCGGTGCTTAAAGCAGCGTTTAGAAGACATAAACAAGTTTTTCTCAGTATAGGGTTAGAACATGCCTTTGTGAAAGTTCAGAACCTCCAGAATACACTCCCTGAGCTGCTGCATTAGCAGTCATTAATCATCATGAATGTAGGTGTTAAAAATAATTTATGCTCATTCTGCAAAGAATCAAAACACCAAATTATGAAAGCAATGTTTTTTTGTTTTTTTTATAATCAAGAATAAATCAACATTAGAATGGTCGTGTTAATGGAATTTCAAATAAAAATCTCACAGCTCCTTGAAATCACGTTATATTCCTTTTTTAGACCCTAGTTTAGACCTGGAATAATTCTGAGATCCACTGACTCATTTAATTCTAAACACATAGGTACAGTTTTTGATAGAGTAGCGTAGAGATCTTGCTGTTGTCATGGTAATGCAGACACTGCATGTGCTCACTAGAGGCAAAAAACAATCCATACAGGAATTATTATGTAGGAGGAGGCTTACAGGAGGTAGTGAGTTCACATTTTAGTTACACATTCTTGTTTGTCGGAACATCATTGATTAAAAGATGCTAAAAGTTATTTACAGTCTTGCACCAAATTTGCACCAAAATGCACCTGAAAGTCCAGCATGAAACAAAACTTTTAAATGTCTATGAAGTCCCTAAAGCTAAAACTAAATGTGATTACAAATAGACAAATATTTATGTTGTTCTTCAATTTGATTATTCACAGCCTCAAATGGGTTGCTTTTGTTTGGATCCAAGATAATGGCAAAGTATTACTCTGCCTAAAGGGGATAATGAAAAAAAGAAAAAAACAAAACAAAACATATACATCCATTGAAGGCACTGATTTTTACTGTCTTAATGTGAAAAACAGAGCTAGTTTATTTTAAAGGTCCCATTATGTAAAATGGACTCTTGTGAGCTTTAAGTCATGTTATAATGTTGTTACCTCCTCAAAAACAGCTGAGCTGTGTTTTGATTCATTCACACGAGTAATGCTGCACTGTTGAGCTGTCTACATCTCCAAAGCTCAAAATGCTCTGTTCCACCTTGTGATGTCATGAAGAGGTAGTTTTCAAGTTAGGATCATTACATTACATTATACATTTTGTTCAGTAGAAATTGGCAATTTGAGGACTGAGATTAAAAAGCTTCTAGTAAAAGGTGTATAGAGTTCAAAAACACTGTTGAGCATTACATGACATCACAAAGTGGAACAGAGTGTTTTCTGTTTGAGAGAAGAAGTCCGCCTAAATATGCAGGCTTTGTGCGTTAAACATGTGTGAATGAAATCAAACTCAACTCCAGGTATGTTTGTGATAATGAAACAACATTATAATTATAATATAATTGTTTTCAATGGTCCAGAGTTATTCCTCACTTAACTTAACTCCAAACATCCTAATTATTCATAGTGATTAGTGAGCGCTTTTTATTTTGTTAATAATATCCTTATGTTGTTTGACAGATTATGCAAGTGCTGTAGTTTATATAGTATATAAAACAGAACAAGATTGGTTTAAATTGTGATGCCATGTGCAAGTGGTTGACTTCATGGTGATGAATAAATTATGAAATTGGTAGTGTCCTGGTTTGGTCCTTGTTTGAAATTCTTGAGGTACACTTAGTTTAATTCTATTCTAGTTCAGTCCTGATCCAAGGTTTAGTCACAGTTGAATCTGTTTAAACTGTAGTGAGTGTGAAAGAATGAAGGCGTCCAAGAACAAAAGTCATGTTTTTGGATCCGCAGTCGGGCCTGTGCACAGTCTCTCTGTGGATATTCATGCTGAGTAGTATTATTCCAGATTAGGATTTAGATAACAGTCTTATGTACACAAAATTGCTATGAGCTTTTGGCCGAGTTAGAATGTTGTTATTTCATCAAAAACATACTCTGAGTTGTGTTTTATTTTTTTCACACATGTTGTTGTAATCCTGCATTAGTAGTCTGTCTGTGCCTGAAAGGCTCAACATACTCCAGTTGCTCCACTTTGTGATGTCATGAAGTGGTAATTTTCAAGTTAACAGCTACCTTTTTGTTTAGCAGAGATTATAAATTCCAAATCTGATATATTCCAAATGATTGTAGTAAAAGTAAAAACACAGTAGAGCACTTCCTGTATTATCACATGACATCACAAGATAGAACAAGAGTGTTTTCTTTTTTAGAGAAGAGCTTGGCCTAAATATGCAAGACTTGTGTGTTAAATATGTGAGTGAAACACAACTCCAGACGATTATACATTATAACATAGATCAGAAAATAGTGTTATATGGGCCCTTTAAGGTTAGACAAGTTAGTCTCCAGTAAATGAATAAGTCAGTGTAATGTTCCCAGCAAGCATGGAAACCCAACATGCATTTGAGTTTGTGTGTTGCTTTGGGTGATGGTGGGGGCTGTCTCATGTGCAGTGGTACCAGAGGGTGCAAATGGGTGCCCTCTCCTCTGTCTCTCTCGCTCTCTCTCTGAGGTGGAGGATGATTTAGGAGGCCTGTCTGAGCCACGTGTGGAGAGAGAAAGCAGAGAGAGCAATCCCATTACTCCTCAGTGACCCTGGCTTAATGCACAGACGCACACATGTACAGTACAATGCTGATTTCTATAGAATTCTAATGTGTTCGGGATGAGACTATTGGCTACAGTTCGACCACACTGCAGGAACAATGCTGCAGGTCAGTGGGTGGACTAAACTAAAGGGAAAAGGAAAGTACTTTTGGGCATCATAAAGTACATTATAAACAATACACCATCCACCAAGGCATTGCAGTTTACATATGCATAGAAATGTATGAGCTTTTTGAACAGCTGGTGTAGTTGGTGCTTTAAGGGAGCCAGGCTGGCGCTACCTAGTGCCGTCGCTCAATTTCATTTCTTTCCAGAGAATAGGTCAGGAATCGGAATACACTAGATGGTTTGCAAGAACCCCGGAAGTGTGAATCCGAGCACCAGCCAATCAGTGAAGAGCCATATATTTTCTGTTGGC